ATAGGAATATAAAGTACCAAAATGAAGAAATTTGTGAAGATTTCCTTAGAAAAGTTTCATTCTCTTATTAAGTTTCCCTGTAAAAATGCATCAATTTAAATCCTTTTGGTATGACTATACTACTAAGTATGATTTCTTTATACATCTTTTCATTCCCTTCTTTGATGCTAGTAGCAAAATTTAATTTTAGTAGGACTGATCAAAGCAGGGAACAAATCATGTACATCAAGAGTTTTTTGAGGGAGGAAAGGGCAAAATTTTATTTCATTTTACGGTAAGCCAGGAATCAAAGTTTTTGAGCAATTTGAGAAAAGTGCTAATTACATCTTGGGCAGAATGGGGTTTATTTTTGTAGATCTTACTCCTTTGTATATTAATGACTTGTTTGAAATTACGATGAGGGCTTCCCAGTAACTCCCACACACTTTATTAAAATCATAGGATGACATTTAGCCCTTTCTTGATTCGGTTTACCCTTTCTTTGCTACAATACTATTTTATTATCTATTTTCCCAAATCCTGGTAGAGAAAGACTTCGCACTAAAATGGCTAAAGTTGTTGACTCTGGGGTGGCCGTGAGCGTGCCACTGCACTCCAGCCTGGGCGACAGAGGGATATCCAACTCAAAAAAATAAATAAAATAAAATGGCTAAAATGTAACAGATTTTGTTTTCAAGTTTGGTCCATTTGAAATACCATTTAAAATATCATTTATTTTTGTTTTTAAAATACCTTATTGCTATTTTTGAGTCAGGGCCTGTTGCTCAGAGTGGAGTGCAGTGGCACAATGGTGGCTTACCATAGCCTCAACTTCCTGGGCTCAGGCAATTCTGCCTCAGCCTCCCAAAGTGCTGGGATTACAGACGTGAGCCACCATGCCCAGCCTGCCATTTATTTTCTTCTGGCACAAAATTAGGAAAATGAAGGGAAAAAATTAACTATATATCCTCCACAGAAACAAGTGAGTATCAGTTGTTTCAATATTTTTGTTTCTGTATATATTAGAAACATTACTTAAAGTTAAGGGGGGGGTCTTGGTTTTATTTTGCTTTTTTGTTTATTCATATAAGGACTATTAAGGGTTCAGATTTTGGTTTTACATTTGGTGTAAAAATTTGAATTTAAAGTGGAAGACACTCTTTTTTTCCTTCCATAGGTTTGATTGTTATGGTGGTGGACTTTCCAAGATCAACACTCCTTTATTGACACCTCTTAAATTGTCACTAGAAGAATGGAGCACAAAGCCAACAAACGACAGCTATGGATTATTTGCGGTTGTGATGCATAGCGGCATTACGATTAGTAGTGGGCATTACACTGCTTCTGTTAAAGTCACTGACCTTAACAGCTTAGAACTAGATAAGGGAAATTTTGTGGTTGATCAAATGTGTGAGATAGGTAAGCCAGAACCACTGAATGAGGAGGAAGCAAGAGGTCTGGCTGAAAATTATGATGATGAAGTGTCGATTCGAGTTGGTGGAAATACACAGCCAAGCAAAGTTTTGAGCAAAAAGAATGTAGAAGCTGTTGGACTTCTTGGAGGACAAAAGAGCAAAGCCGATTATGAGCTATACAACAAGGCCTCAAATCCTGATAAGGCTACCAGTACAGCACTTGCTGAAAATAGAAATTCTGAGACTAACAGTACTAACGGGACCCACGAATTGGATAGAAACAAGGAATCCATTGACCAAACAGGCATGAACATTAGTGGATTTGAGAACAAAATTTCATATGTAGTGCAAAGCTTAAAGGAGTATGAGGGGAAGTGGTTGCTTTTTGATGATTCTGAAGTTAAAGTTACTGAAGAGAAGGACTTCTTGAATTCTCTTTCCCCTTCCACATCCCCTACTTCTACTCCTTACTTGCTGTTTTATAGGAAATTATAGAGTGGGTTTTCCTTGTGTATATATTAAATAGACCTGCACAAACATTGGTAACGTTGACTACATCAAAGCGTCTTTAGCTTATCTTGAAGCTACTGGATATTTTCAGTCTCTAGATTTTATATAAATAGTGAGATTTGAATTACTGAAAACTATGTTAATTTTTAGAATTCATTTTCCTTAGTAGAGACTAGTGATGCATTAGCTTCTGGGAACAAACTTGTATAGGTTCTTAATTGGATTATTCCAAATGGAAGCATTTAAACACTTTTGGATTTACACTGATCTTTTTGTGTTTCCTTTTAAAAATAAAGTGCTTGTATTTGTATTCTCCATATTTTGGAGTACATGATGTTTATAGGTCCCGTGGTTTTTCACCTAAGAAGCAGAATCTCATTCAGTACATTTAGTTTTATAAGAGTCATGAAGCCAAATCTTGGATGGGCTGTGTCAGAGGAACAAAGGCTAGAAAGTGTGTACTCACAGTGGTGTACATTTATGCTTTGAGTCACTTAGAATAGTGTCTCAGAAAACCCAGACAGGCCCCTTCTGTCTTCACAAGAATTTTATATGTATTTATGAAGATGATTCTGTATTCTAGTAAATCTTTTTGGGCATGGACTAATTTGTATCTCTTCATATTCTGCACGATCTGTATATAGTACATCAAAGCTAGAGGTATGACCTAAAGTTTAACTTTTTTTAAAAGACTGGGAGGTCAATAAAATTTAAACTGCTTAACAACTGTGTATATAAATGTCCAAATTCTTTACTTGCAAATTTTTATCGTAAATACAGCCAAGTTCTCTTATGCAATAAGTACATATATATAGAAGAGGAATAAACATGCATGATTACCTTTACTACTCAATACTTTGTCAGTGGAGGTGATTATTCAAAGAGAAGAAACTAGTCCATCCAACTTGCAATACTTTAAAAGAGGTTTGCAGTAAAAATTGTCGCATCTGTTGTTGCATTTACTGTCCTCTAAAGTAGACACATAGTTTAATGGAATCCAAAACTGGAAAACTCAAGATGCTTTGGGCACACGTAAAAACTTGGTTAAAGTCTCATTTTAAATATAGTATACTAAGTTGGTAAATGACCACTTTTCTCACAACTTGTTAAAGGACATTCTTGGTACTATTTCTCAGAAATTATTCTAAATATGTAAGTGCTATTGAGATTAACACTGTTACACACTATTTCAGCAAATAAGAGTACCTTGTTAACTCATAAATTAGTTACATAATACCTTATGCTCTTCCACAGGATAATGCGATGATAACAGAGTTATGGCTCTCCCTCATTTCAGAATCATTCCTGAAGTTTTAAAAAGAAACATCCCTGAGCACTATCCATAAGCTTCTGATGGAGCAGGGCTAGGATCGACAACAGGCCTCTCGTACTCAAAAGGCAGCCAGTGTTAAGAACCAGCACAGATTCCTGATGTGGGGAAATGGAGTTGTAAGAAAAAATAAGTTTGTGAGAAGTTAGGTATTCAGTATCATACTAGTGTTTTTAAGAGGACGCAGGTCAGAAAACAATTGGTATTGCATGATGTTAAGTCATTATCATACAAACCCTAAAGTCCTTGATAACATTTGTGTGAAGCCGTTCAAACTTACATAAATGTAACAATGAGAAAAGGTTACTTAATAATATACTCAGTCTACCTTCCTTGCTGCCACCTGCCCCCTAAAGAAGAGGGGAGAGCATGCCGCTTGTTTTTAAGTTGCCATTTTTGACTCCTTGCCTTTCCTTACATTCATTTGGCTTCTTTCCCTAAATAGATGTCTGAGGTTATGCTCTTCTGACTCCTTAGATTTGATTCAACTGTGCAGATTCAGTCTTGGAATTGATTTAGATAAGAGGAATCTGAGATAATGCTGCCCACGAAGGTACGCTGGAAAGATCAACTGTCACCAAGGCTCTCAGAAGTAGATATTTTTGAACTCTTGTTTTCTACATCATCTATAGGATGAAGGCACTATATTAAATCCGATCAATTTTTTTTTTTTCAGTTGGGTTCTCACTGTTGCCCAGGCTAGGGTGCAATGGCACAATCATGGCTCACCATAGCCTCAACCTCCTTGGCTCTGGGGATTCTCTGAGTGGCTGGGACTACAGACATAACACCACGATATGCAGCTAATTTTTTGATTTGTGGAGATGAGATCTTGCTGTGTTGCCCAGGCTCGTCTCAAACTCTCGTGCTCAAGTGATCCTCCTGCCTTGGCTTCTTCCTAAAGTGTTGGGATTAAAGGTATGAGCCACCACGCCCAGTCTCAGTCTGATTAATTCTTAGGTGATTCATGTAACTGGCCAGTAAGCAAAAGGGCTTATACATGATGCCATTCTAGAAGATACAATACTACACACAAAAAAACCACTCAATTAAATACTTCCAGAAATCCTATATATGCACTGTTTGGGGAAAAACTTGCCAACTAATTAAAATGTTATTTCTCAAAGGTTTCTTCTGCTTTAGTTTTTCACATCACACTTTCAGATGAATTAATTTCAGTTAAAAATTTTTACTTTTTACATGTGTTTTCTGAATGCTATACAAGTGTCAGAAAATATGTGACTTCTTAACAAACTCCAGTTGTGTTATCTTCATGGTGATGTAAAATAGCTTGAAAGCAGATTCTAATTTACTGGTTTAGAACACCAAAACACTGAGGGTAGCTGGCTTGTTTAACGTGAAACACAAGAATTTTTATCTTAGTGCTGAGTCATGACGTTCATACTACTATCACTGGCATAAGGAGATGCACTCAAGATCAAGCTCTTATTACTGATATTAGCTAGTCCAGTGTATAAATCATCATTTACAGACAAAAGCTTTATCAGGTGAAATTATTTCTACAGTTCTAAATTTATTTTTGGGGTCTCTCAATAGAAAATAACTTGAAAACCAGTTTTAAGACTTTACAAACCAGTTACCAGTATTCATCTTCATTAATGCATTTATTTAATTTGGGGTTCTTTTTTGGGCCTATAAAGTATACGTTTTCATTTTCATTTTGCTAGGCTTGGAATGAATCCTTGAATCAACCGTTAACTATCTGTCTCTGTCAATAAACATTTTAGAAGTCCCACTCAGTAAAATTAGTGTAAACATTCACATATTTTAATAGTACCTTTAAAATAAGTATTACTACATTTAAAATGGTTCCAAAATGAATCTATAAATGGTAATATAAATTAAAAAATATGAACTTAAAGTAAATAAATTTAACATTAGCTATGGTATAAATAACAGTAAATGTATATTGTACCTTTGAGTCATTAAAATGTCTTAAAAAAGAACAGCATGTTACCAGAACATTAGAAACCATAGCCACGATTCTCAAACTTTAACAATCTGCATTTGATATTGTCTTGGCCACTGCATTCTTCAATGAGTAAAGTAATGCTGCAATTTTCAGAATTCCATCCCATCTTATTTTTCAATATATCTTTGCTTCTTTTCATACTCAATGGTGAGTACACGGCTCTTTTCTAATGACTAAAACAATTGCATTTATTTTAGAGATCCATTTTGCGAAGGCTCATGCGACTGAAGGAATCTCTGGGGAAAAAGGAGAGGATACAGTTGTAAGAAAACAATTCTTGCAAACACCTTTGAAATTTTTACATGCTTTTTTCTGCCAGAGTCATCTCAGGGTTCTGCCACCAGTTCTTACTCCCAAGTTAGATGCTCATCTGACATACTCTGCCTTATAGATTCTGGCTTATAGATTTCTTTATAGATGAGAAATGTATTATAGTAACCACTTTGTCAAATCCATTGATCATGTATTTATCTGTCCAGCTGGGCCACAAATACTGTGATAAACAGGACAAGGACTTAAGAAATAATGAGAGAGATTTTGGGAAAAGATGTAGTGTTACTAAATGGCAGAAGGCAGGTGTTTCTATACATATTAAATTTTGAGTCTTAAACCGGTGAGTCTCAAACTTTGTTTCAGGTCCTTTTTTACACTCTTAAAAATTATTGAGAGCCCCAGGAATCTTTTGTGGCTATTTGCCATATTAGAAATTAAAACTAATAAAATTTTGTTATTATTTTATAAAATAGCCTTCTATATGATATTATAAATAGCAGTCTTATTAAAAACAACTTGCACACTGGGCATAGTGGCTCACACCTGTAATCCCAGCACTTTGGGAGGCACAGGCAGAGGCGAGAGAATTGCCTGAGTCCAGGGGTTCGAAACCAGCCTGGACAACTTGGCAAGACCTCATCTCTACAATAAATAAATAAAAAAATTAGCCAGATTGGTGGCACTCGCCTGTGGTTCCAGCTACTTAGAAGAGTAAGTCAAGAGGATCACTTGAGCCCAGCAGGTCCAGGCTGCGGTGGCTGTGAGCATGCCACTGCACTCCAGCTTGGGTGACAGAGTGAGACTCTGACTCAAAAAAACAAAAAAGAAAATTGCATTTTTTCATCAAAAAGCTTTTCCTAAATTCCAGAAAATTTCCTGGAACTATTAAGATCGAAAGCTTGGAGGATTGGCCAACAAGCAGATCCCCAAGGAAGGTACAACTCAGGGAAGGTTCTTTTTTATTGTGTGAGGTAGGAAGGATACAGCCATTCCACGGAAAGGAACGGCAGATCTGAAGGAACAGACAAGGATCAGGCAAGTGCCTCCTATGTCAGGGACCCAGCACGCAGACCCTCAGGGACCACTGACTGGCGAGTGGAGGACTGGTGGAAGGGAGTGGAAACAGCAAGAAGGAAACAGTTCTAGAAAGACTGAAGGGGAAATTCAAGTGGAGGAAATCAGTGTGTTGTTTCCCACTGGGAATTCCTAGAGGAAACCACCTTCTAGGATGTCTCACAGGAGGATAGGATGGTGGAAGCAAAACGATGTTCCACCAGAGAATAAGAATCTAAACAGGCCCTCTGGTCAGGCCTCTTTTATTACAGATCATGGAAGAGGTCCAGATGACCTATGTGCTTCCTGTGGGAGACTGTTTATAACAGGCCGCAGGCGCTTAGTAGACACTGGGTGAATGTCCTAGGAATACGTGATTTTTTTCACAGGTCCAGAAGTACATACACATTGGACCACTGAAGAACAGGGGCTAATTCCTGGGTGATTAAAGAGCCAGTTTAATTTTTTTTTTTTTTTTTTTGCAGCATAGTGGACCATGTATCTTCTGCTTTCTTGGAAGCAACTTCAGTGGCCTTCCAAATGCAAGCTGTCAGGTACTCACAATGTAATAGCTTTACTATTTTAGGTAATTATTTCAAAAGAAGAGAGAGGTGAAAAATCAGTGCCACAAAAATTCAACACTTGTATGTGAATTTGATATCAAAATGCAAGAAAGGGAGTTTACTTTTAACAGCTATCGTGCCTTTTCCAGAATTCGGGTGCCACAGAGTGGAATGTCAGGCACTGTCCTAGGAACTTACATCTGTAATGTCACTTAATCACCACAACAACCTCTTCAAAGTACGTGTTATCATCTCATTACATAGAGATCTAAAAACTGAATTACCTGTTCAAAAAGAACTAGGATTTAGTTGTAGAACATTCCAAGTTATTTCCACTTATCTGCCACACTTAAAAAATGGAGAAAAACACTGCAGCCTTTGAGATACTTCATGGAGTTACCTGCTTTGATGCATATCTTCAAGAACATAACTGCCTTGTATAACTGTATGCTGTTTATGGTCACGGCTAATGGAAAGGAATGCCCGGCTCCTGATACATGCTAGTGAGTTCTCCCAAAAATTCACCAGAAAGGATGACGGGACTTTTAGGGAAAAGATTTATCAGGCTAGGCTTAAGTTAGTATGAGTACTTAACATAGCTTTATGATTCCTGAATTACAGAAAGACTGGCCTTATTTGTAGTCTGACTAATGTATAGGTGGTACAGACTGAATATCCCTAATCTGAAAATCCCAAATCTGTAATGTTCCAAAATCAGAAACTTCTAGTGCTGACATGACACTCAAAGGAAACGCTCACTGGAGCATTCTGAATTTTGGATCTTTTAGGTAAGGTATGCTTAACCTGTAAAAGGGCTTATGCCAGTTGAACTTGTTACGTTTCACAGAGAACAGTGCCTAAAAACCACATAAAAATAAGCAGACCTGTGGCAGGTGACAGGCAATACTGCCTTGTACAACTGAGGGATCTTTCTGTTGATAAGTGGCTGCAGGGCCTCTTTAAGACGATGGTAGTTTCTCTCCAGTTCCCTCTGATACTCCTTTTGATCTGGCCCAATCAAGCTCTTGTTTTTTCTTAAGGCATCTTCACACCTAGGAAAAATTGCATGTTATCAAAAGATTACTTCCAGCATAGTTTGTGGATTTAATGTCCTAGGTGTGTATATATATATATAAAATGGATGTTTACTATCATGGGGACATTCAGTTTTTCAGTTAGATAGTAAATAATCCTCTTTTGTTTTAGATTTAAGGCAGGGAACAAAAGACCAACTGAATTCCTTGAACATCTAACAAACATTTGCCTCCAGATTTCATTACACTGAAAATTGTAGCTTTTGGTTAAATTAACCATTTAGTGATATTTGAAGCCATTTTTTTCACACCACCACTAGACTAGAAATTCAGGGATATAATTATACTCATTTATGTGGTACCAATAACACGTGGTACAGACTTTGCCTGTGTTCAAATAAATATTTCTTAACTGAATAGATCTTGATGAAAATCCTTTATCCAAGTTATTCAAATATTTAAGAAAATGTACCTCAATAAAGGATGTTAAAAAGTTATATATATATGTATGTGTGTGTGTGTATATATATAGGTGCACACACATACACACACATATCTGTGGAATACGACCAAAATGATACTTAATATAAAATGCACAGCCTTAAATGCTTGTATTAGAAAATAAGGCTAAAGCTGGAGAACTAAGTAATTTAAAAAGAATAGAAAGGAAATTAAAAAAAAAAAAACAACAACAAAGAAAAGTTGGTTCTTCGAAAAAACTAAAAAAAAAAAAAAAATACACTAAGCTCTACCAAGATTACATGAGAGATCAAATATGCCCTAGGAATTTACAACAAAACAGAAAGTCAACTATAACAGAAGTTAATAAAGAGGCAGAGGATATTATGTACAATTTAATGCAAAACAACCTGATATTATACTTTACTAGATTAATGACTTAGCAAAACAGACTCAATTAAGAAAAAACAAGACTAATGCTAAAATCAATCAATCAAATATACTGAATAAGTCACAAATCTATCCACAAAGAAAACTCTAACATGCATATTCTACTAAAAATTCTAGGGGCCAATAACCCCAGGCAACACAATTATATTCTAGAGTATATGCAAATCAATTCAGGAGTAAAGGGGAGAAGAACCATTCATGAGAGGCATCCCCATTTTATTTTTCAAGGTGGGGACACCAAAATCTAATGGGGACTATCAGGAAAAGTCATACTCCAATCTCACCCATAAAAATAATTGCCAAACTGCATCAAGAATTAGACCAATCATGGATTCAAACACTGTTTAAACAGCTGTCTATACTGCACATGTAGAGACATTTTTCTTGCCATTGTTCCCCAAACAATATGGTATAACAGCTATTTACATAGCATTTACACCGTATTAGGTACAATGAGTAATCTAAGATGGTTTAACTATACAGGAGGATATGCATAGGTTATATGCAAATACTAAGCCATTTACTAGAAAGAGCTTGAGGATCTGCAGATTTTGGTATCCACAAAGGGTCCTGGAACCAATCCCCCCATGGATACTGAGGGAGGACTTTCAAAGGAAATTGTTCTACTAATGTATTACACACATACACCATGACCACGTTGTTTACCCTAAAATAAATGAAAGGTTGGAGATTGAAATCCACAAATGTAACTTATCCCAAGATTAAAGAAGCAGAAAAAAGCATCTGATAACAAAATTTTTAAATTGCCATAATAAAAACTCCACACAACTATAAATAGGTGGGTACTCCCTTAACCTAATTAAACATAGCTTCAAAAAACCTGAAGCAAACATTATACTCAATGATGAAAACCCTTCCTTTTAGATTAGAAACAAGAAAATGATGCCCTTTGTAACTATTCCTATTCAACACAGTACTGGCGGTCCTTAACTAATCATCGTAAGACAAGAACAAAATCCTACAAATTATTAGAATTAACAAGTAAGTTTGGTAAAGTTCTCATGTAAAATTAATACATAAAGTCAACCACCTTTTGTTATATCAGCAAACAAAAAACGCAATTTTAAAAGATAAAATTAGCAAAGGCATAAAAGTATTAAATACTAAGTAATATACAAAAAAGTGCAAGATATCTACACAAAAAATTTTGATAATATTAAGAAAATATTTAAAAGACCTAAGTAGATGGAGAAATATACCATATTCATGGATTGACATAATTGTCTTTCAATTGATCTGTAAATTCAGGTTAATAATTTTTGGGATGAATGGAGTAACAAACTGATTCTAAACTTTAAAACTGATATAAAAAGTAAAAGGGCCAAAAATGGTCCTTGAACAAAATAAGGTGAGAGGAATTTGCTCTCCAGATAGTCTTGCTTATTGTAAAGCTGTAGGAATTAAGACAGCATGGCGTTGACTCCAGGAGAGATAGACAGAGCAAGGCAGAAGAATGAATCCCAGAGACAGGCACGCACAAGCATGGACACTTAATTATAACAGTAATGACATGTGAAACAGTGGGAAAGGGCAGGCAATCTTTCAAATGAGTAGTGCTAGCTGGATATTCATATGGAAGAAAAAGCTAACCTATATTTCATACCATATTCAATACATGGGGCTGAGATCATTATCAGCTATCAGTATGGACAAAAATCAAACTGCTCCTACCTTGAGCCATACACGAAAATCAACTGCAAATGAATTTTTAAAAAAGAAGTAGGCTGAGCTCGGTGGCTCACCCTGCCATCCCAGCATGTTGGGAGGCCGAGGCAGTTGGACAGCCTGAGACCACGGGTTCGAGACCAGCCCAGGCAACTTGGCGAGACCTCGTCTCTACAATAAATAAAAAATTAGCCGGGTGTGGCAGCAGGCACCTGTAGTTCTGGCTACTTGAAAGGCTGAGGCGGAAGGATCGCCAGAACCCAGCAGGTCAATGCTGGGGTGGCCATGAGCATGCCACTGCACTCCAGCCTGGGCAACGGAGTGAGACTCCAACTCAAAATAAATAAATAAATAAATATAGAGATGGGTTCTCACTATGTTGCCCAGGCTGGACTCAAACTCCTGGCCTCAAGCAATCAACCTGCCTCAGCCTCTTGAGTACCTGGGATTATGGGATTATAGGCATGTGCCACAGCACCTGGATCTCTCGCAAGTGTCTTTTTAAAAATGTAACAAAAAAAACCTTCTCCGCTCCCTTTTGTTTAGCCTATATTGAATCATCAATACTGAAAATTTTAACTACATTAAATTTAAGAACTTCTGTTTATTAAAAAAAAAGTTAAGTTCCAAATTCAGAGGAGACATTTGTAATACTTACAAATGATAAAACATTATATATCCAGAACATATAAATACCCTTAGAAATCAATAAGGAAAAGAATTCAACAGGAAAATGGCAAAAGGCTTGAACATGCAACTTTACAGAAGAGGAAAGAAATAGTTAAAAAACACATGAACACATATTCACCCTCTTTGATAATCAGAGAAATGCAAATTTAATCTAAAATCACATCATTTCATATTCACCAGATTGGTAAAAGTTAAATTGTTAGACAATATCAAGTACTGGTAAAGATATATAGTAATAAAAATTCTCTTAAATGCTACTGGTGAGCATGCTGGCTTACACACTTTGAAAAAGAATGTGGCATCTTCTGGTTGAAGAAAAACTATAAACCAACAGCACTATTCTTAGTTATAAGCCCTATAAAATCTCTTGTATATATACATACAGAAATAGGTAGAAGATTATCTGAATAGTATTCTTTGGACTAAAAACAAAAAAGGAAACAATCAAAATATCCATCAACAAATGAATTAAATCATGGCCTATTTATACACTGGAATATATAAAAATAAATTAACAAAAGCAACACTGTAGATATATCTCATAAACACTGAAAACAGCAGGTCACAAAAAATATATACAGTGCTCATTTACACAAAGTTAAAAATGCAAAGCTAAAAAATATGTTACTTAGGAAAACATTCATTTATGATAAAACTGTAACGACAAGAAATGATAAATATCCATTTCAGGACACTGGTTACCTCTGAAGGAAGGGACATAGATCAGAGAAGAGTACATGAGGAGGGACCTCAGAGGAAGGGGAGGCTCTAATTCTTTTGAGTTGAAATCTCACTTTTGTCACCCAGGCTGGAGTGCAATGGCATGCTCATGGCCACCACAGCCTCAACCTGCTAGGCTCAGGCAATCTTTCCACCTCCACCTTCCAAGTAGCTGGAATGACAGGCGCACGCCACCACACCTGGCTAGTTTTTGTGACTTATTGTAGAGATGTAGTCTCACCAAGTTTCCCAGGCTGGTCTCGAACTCCCGGGCTCAGGCAATCCTCTCGCTTTGGCCTCTCAAAGTGCTAGGATTATAGGCTGAGCCAACCACACTTGGCCTGAAGCTCTAATTCTCAAGCGAGGAGGGAGGCACATGACTTTTTCCTTCCTATGCTTTAATGGCAAATGTCACAAATATTATTTTATCCTATTCAAGATTAATGAAAACAAGTTTTAAAAAAAAAAACAACCTAAAAACAACAGACTAGTAAACGTGCACAGTTGGTAGTGCTAGTACATTTGAACCTTGAATAACATGGGTTTGAATTGCCCAGGTCCACTTACATGTGTATTTTTTTTTTTCAATAAATATGTTGAAAAATTTTTTGAAACTCTGTGAAAAAAATTCAAAGATGAATTGAGTACTCTAGAAATATTGGAAGAGTTGAGAAAAAGGTATGTCGTGAATAATAGATTTTCATCATTTATACTGTACATTAACAACTCTATTATAAAAAGTCAAAATTTGGGCAACCCCCTCAGGTGCCCTCCCACTGTGGGAACTTTTCTGTTCTCTCAATAAATCCTGCTTTAAAAAAAAGTCAAAATTTATCAAAAATTACCCCATAAACACTTAAGAGACCCTACATGGTGCCGTTTGCAATAGCGAGAAATGTAAACACATATAAAATTCAGTATTAAGTCATAAAGGCATACAATTATCAGGAGTACAGCCAGATTACTGCAATAATTTCATAGCCACCTTCTGTTGCTATCACGGTGAGCTCAAGTGTGAGTACTGGCTTAAAATGCTGGGTGACACTGATCATCTCCATGAGAGTACTTCCTCTCTCTAGTAAAAAGGGATCACTCGTGGTTTTTGTGCATTTTTTATTGTGTTTAGTGCAATACCGTAAACCTTGAATAACACCCTGGGACCGATAAGAGGTGCTACGGTGATGTGGGAAGTGCTCCCAGGAAGCAGAGAGACGTCATGCATTACGGGGAAAAGGTGACTTGTTGACATGCACTGTAGACTGAGGTCTGCAGCTACAGTTGCCTGGTGTTTCAAGATAAATTAATCTAAAGTAAAGACCACTGTAAAAACAGAAAATGAAATTTGTGAAGCCAGCAGGTATGAAAACCTCGCACTTTCTGCGAAATACATTTTTATCTCATACTGAAAATGCAGCCTTTATGTGTGTGCAGGATTGCTATAAGAAAGGCATACTTGTAGACTCTAGCCCGATCAGAGAAAAAGTGAAGTCATTATAAGACAATTTAAAGCAAAGGAAGCTGGGTTCGGTGGCTCAGCCTGTAATCCCGCGCCTTTGGGATGCTGAGGTGAGTGGATTGCCTGAGCCTGTGGGTTCGAGACCCGCCTGGGCAGCGAGACCTCATCTCTACAGTAAATCAAAAAAATCAGCCGGGCGTGGTAGCGCATGCCTGTAACTCCCCGCTACTTGGAAGGCTGAGGCAGAAGGATCACCGGAGCCCAGCAGGTCGAGGCTGCAGTGGCTGGGAGCGGCCACTGTACTCCAGTCTGGGCGACAGAGTAAGACTCCAACTCAAAAAAATAAATAAATAAATAAAGCAAAGGAAAGTGAAGAATCTAAAGCTGGAGAATTTAATGCCAGCCAAAGCTGGTTTGATAATTTTAGGAGGTTTAGCTTTTAAAAAGATGCTGAGATAACAGGAGAAGCAGCTTCTGCCAACCAAGAGGCAGCAAACAAGTTCCCAGATGTCATTAAGAAAATCGTTGAGGAGTATTTGCCTGAACAACCCGTTTTTAATGCAGACAAAAGTGCCCTATTCTGAGAAACAACAACAACAAAAACCAGAAAGGGCATTTATTCGTAAGAAAGAGAGTCAGGTGCTAGGAATTAAGGCAAGAAGTAACAGGTTAACTACTGTTTCATGCAAATGCAGTCAGGTTCATGATCAGGACTATCTTTATCTATAAAGATGTTAATCCCCGAGCTTCGAAGGGAAAAGATAAACACCAGCTGCCAGACTTCTGGTTGTACAACAAGAAGGTCTGGACAATGGGAAGCCTTTTTCTGGACTGGTTCCATCACTGCTTTGTCAGAAAGTCTGAAGTCAGAAAGCACCTTATCAGCAAGGGACTGACTACCTTTTAAAGTTCTTCTGATGTTGCACAATGCCCCTGACCTCCTAGAATCCCATGAGTTTGACACTGAAGATGATGAAGTGGCCTACTTGTCCCCCAAAACGTCTCCAATTCAGCCTCTAGAGCAAGAGATCATGAGGACCTTTAAGACCCATTACACATGGTAGCCTATGGAAAGGATAGTCAATGCTATGAAAGAGGAACCCCATAGAGAGAACACCAGGAACGTCATTGAAGATGTCATTGTTATGGAGAAAGCCATGAATTCCATCAAGCCTGAAAATATCAATTCCTGCTGGAGAAAACTGTGTCCAAAGGTTGTGGATAGGATTTACAACAGAGTCAAATAAGGAAATAATGAAAGAGACTGTGAGCATTGCAAAAATAGGAGAGGGGGGGAAGAAGCGTTTCAAGATACGGATCTTGTAGTAATTCAAGAGCTAATGTGGCTCCTGTCTGTAATGCCAGCACTTTAGGAAGCCGAGGTGGGAGAATTGCTTGAGCCCAGGAATTCGAGATCAGCCTAGGCAACACAGATAGACATATTCTACATAAAAAATTAAAAAACTAGCCGTGCCTGTTGGCACATGCCTGTAGTTTCAGCTACCCAGGAGGTTGAGACAGGAAGATTGCCTGAGCCCAGGAGGCCAAGGCTGTGGTGAGTCATGAGTGTGCCACTGCACTCCAGCCTGAACAAGAGGGAGACCCCAACTAAAAAAAAAGAAAAAAAAGGAATAATAGTTTTAACTCTTTAATTGAAAAATAAGAACTTAAGATTATATGTATATTATGACTGAACCATGGTAAAATATATATGCATACCGGCATAACATTCAGTTATCATACTAAATGACAACACACAAGAATAAAAAATGTAGTATTGGCTTTACTTTCTTTATAAAGTTTATATTTGGTAGTTTTTAAAATGTGTTTCTTGCTTTTTTGTAATATAAGCTGTCTAGCCTCTATAATCATATTATAAAATCTCAGCCTTTCAGTAAAGCTTTTTGACATTTTTCTTTCTTTCTTTTTTTGAGTTGGGGTCTCACTCTGTCATCCAGGCTGCAGTGCAGTGGCACAATCAGAGCTTGACTTGGTAGGCTCAGACAATTGTTCCACCTCAGGCTCCCAAGGGATTACAGGTGCGTACCACCACAGCTGGCTAGTTTTTGATGTTTTGTAGGGACGAGATCCTGCTCTATCATCCAGGCTGGTCTGAACTCCTGGGCTCAAGCAATCTTCACGCCCTAGCCTCCCAAAGTGCTGTGATTACAGGCATGAGCGACCATATCTGGTCTGCAGTTTTTCTGTTAGATGTTTACCACGTTCAGGCAGAAGAAAATGATAGCAATTGATGACAGCTATTGCAATGAGAAAGAAGGAGATAACATCTCAAACTATTTAACAAGTTAGCATTACTCATATTTTTTCCGATGAAGAAGGCATTACCAAGCAAAGTTATTTCTTTCCATAACAAACCCATTCAAAGATGTGTTAACACCACAAAAGAGAGTCAGAGACTGGGTTCTGACCATGGGCCTGATGCTGCTCTATTAGTTAAGAATCAAGTCATTTACTCGGTGGCACACAAGCCCCTGCCAATCTGACCCAATCGACTTTCTTAGTCTCTTCTTTTATGAGGTCTTCACAGAGTCCATGGTTCCGGCTTCCCTAGACAACTTAACCTTTCCCAGAACACCCCAACTCAAAAAAAGAAAGAAAGAAAAATGTCAAAAAGCGTTATTGAAATGTTGAGCTTTTATAATATGATTACAGAGCCTAGACGGCTTATATTACAATGTTGCTCGTAGTTATTTTTTTCTTAAATTTGGTAAACCCTTTCTCTTCTTTTATACCTGAAAAACTAATATTCGTTCTCCAATGTTCACTTCAAATGAGTGGAATCTTCCCTGGCATTACCAAATTGAATTAATCACTTCTTTGTTTGTAATCACAGTGTTAGTAAAGCAGAAATCAAGTATCAAGTTGATAAATGGCTATTTTTCCCTATTGTTTCAAAACTCAATACTTGCCAAATATCTATTTATTATGTGCCAAGTTTTAGCTTATAAATATTTCCTCTGTGCAGAAAAGAGTTAGGATTTCACACCAGAGACTGCCATCCTTAGAAAAGCCTGATTGCAAGGCTGGTCCTTGGTTAGAGTCTGAGAATTTGTATTTTGGGAGGTTTCCCATCAGTCATGGAAGATGAGTGGCTCACTGTGCCTACACTGTTTATACAAACACTACGGTTTATGCTGCACACCTGTTTTCCTTCTGCAAGTCTGGAATTTTGGTATGTATCAGGGAGAGGGTGCTTATGTGTCCAGCCTCCAGTACAAACCACTGGCATCGAGTCTAATGAGGTTTCCTGGTAGACAATATTTCACACATGCTGTCACAATTCACTGCTGGAGGAATTAAGCAAGTCCTGTGAGACTCCCCTGGCAGAGGACCCTTGAAGCCTGCCCCTGGTTTCCTCCAGACCTCAGCCCCTGCACCTTTGCTGACTTTACTTTGTATTATTTCAGTGCAATACATCATAGCCACCAGTACAGTGCTGAGTCCTGTGAGTCCTCCTAGCAAATCACTGAACCTGGGAGAAATCTTGGCGATCCCCGACATACCCATGTATTATTTCACCTAGTTTGCACAAGAGAAAACTGAGGATCACAGAAATTAGGTGACCTGGAAAAGGAGACCCAATGATAAGGATGGGATTTGAACAAACATTTTGCTTCCAAGGTTACTGCCTGTAAGTTCCCTGGGGGAAGGAAAGCAGAAATCGAATACTGAAGGTTCACAATAAATAGTAGCTTCCAAATTAAATAGTGTAATAATAGTTTCAAGTTAATTAAATTCATAAGCCTTGGTTTTTCTAATCTTCAAAATTAAAAATATGGGCCAACTGCGGTGGCTCACACCTGGAATCCCAGTACTCTGGGAGGCCGAGATGGGAGGATTGCTTGAGCCCAGGAGTTCAAGATTAGCCTGGGCAACATACTGAAACTCATCTCTACAAAATAATACAGAAATTATCCAGGTGTGGTGGCACATGCATGCAGTCCCAGCTACTCAGGAGACTGAGGCAGAAGAATCACCTGAGCCCAGGGGGTTGAGACTGAAGTGAACCATGATCTCATCACTGCAGTACTACAGTCCTACCTGGGCGACAGAGTGAGATGCTGACTCAGAAAAACACCAAAACCAAAACCAAAACCAACATGAAATGATCGAGTTGGGGGGGAGGGTAAGTTCAGCACATCCTACACAGATTCTCCTTGAGAACCGCTTTTCTATATTTTCTCTTTTCAATAGTTCCTTGAGGCCCTTATGTCATACTAAGGTATTAGATATTCTCAATTTGAAGATCTTTACGCAGAAAGCCTTGAATACCTTTTAGTAAAATCTTTAAAGCAGAGTCGCAGTTTATTATGATGTCGGAAAAGCTTTGGGTCACTGGGTATTTCAGATAGAAAAACCTGGGCAACTTCCAAAGGCCCCTGCAAAATAAGAAGATAAAACAAGAAACATGTTTTTGTTTTCTCTAAAGTCACCAAGACAGAATTTACCCAAATGATTTATCTTAGCATTGAGATATCTGTGTTTTAACTTAATGCATATAGGTCTATGCCTATATTAAAATGCTTCCGAGAAAACTGTTTCAGTTTTTCTTAATTTCGTATCTCCTCTTGCCTACTACAATTAAATTTTCAGTGAATCCTTCAAAGAAACAGAATGGGAGCTAAAGGTTTGATTATTGTGTTAATTGATGCAGTTTGTTTTGTATTTTTTCCATTCTTTAATGTATCCTGGATATAAAAGTTGTCAGAGTTGATTTTGCTAAGACAGCTTCCTGTAGTATTCCAAAAGTGTTCCTGACACTGTAAGTTAAAGATGATCTTTCCTGGGTAAGCCACACCATTCGGAGGTAAAACCTCAGAATCATGTACGCTTTTAGGGGGCAAAGGTTGTAAAGTGCTTACTTCAGTTTTGGTAGTGCATTTTTTTGGTTTTGTTCCTTTAATCCAAAAAGCGGTTCAGGCATATTACAGGAAATCTTACTTGAAGTCTTTTTAGATTTTCCCTTAACATGGAATATTCCTTAAAGTTGGGCCAAGCCCACAATCATCAGGAAGAGAATCTTAATCAACCAATCATAAGGAGACAAGAAGGATGGCTTCTAATTTGCATATGACAAAAGAGCAGCATCTTGTGTACATGTATTATTAAAATTTTCCGATGATACCTATCACTTATTTAATCCTCACAACTTATGTGAAGGAGATCTGGAGAACATAACATCAGGAGAATTCACCATGGTAGAGGGTCATATACCTGTACACAGCTCTGAAAAGGAGTCCTCTTTTTTAAGATCACATCTTTAAGTACAAGCATTTTAAGGAACGGTTATTTCAAATGAGTCAATTCCTTCATTAATAGAATATATAAGACCACACTGGCAGGAAAACACAGGCAGTAGAGAAGCCAGGTGTAAAAGCCTTAACAACTGAGATTATACTAAAAACTTTGCTTTCAAATTTGTCTTCATTTATGTTTTCAATGTCTTTTGCAACCATTTCTAACACATGTCCTTTTCACTCAATTTAGCAGTTATTTATGATCTTTGTAAAACGTAAGAATGAAATTACTAATTCTACTTATTGCTTAAATCACACAGTGAGAGCAAAAAGCACCAACCTGATTAACTGTCGTGCCTACAGACCCCTGGAGAACCATCTGAAGCATTTTGGGATCTGCTGGATCCTGGTGTGTGGCAAATGCCAACTCCTGTGTCTTCTTCTGCATGTCTTCAATAGCAACTTCAATTGGTGTCAAGATGATCTGAGTAAAGCAGCCTCTGTTAGCTCAGTGTACTGATTTAAAACTATTTAATGTGCATTACATACAAGCAATTAAAATTAGAAAAAATAGAGATCAGTTGTAAACTATGTAACAATAAAATTCCAAACTTGGATACCTAAATTAAAAAAAAAAAAAATCAACCTTTTAAAGCATAAGCTGAGGGTGAATCAGGAACTTAGAGAGGAAGTCAAAAGTTAATGACTTAAAAATGGGTCAAGTTCTAGTATTACAGTATAAGAGATGGCACATATCTTCTGCTACATCTGCACTGTTGTTATTACATGGCTGGAATGCATTTGTTTCACTAACCCTATTTAGGGACTTACCTCCTCTTTGTGAGTGACATTGACCCTTGTTTTAATATAAGGAAAGGCATGCGAAGTAGTCAGAATGGTCTTCCGCTTGAATTGTTCATGAAGTTCCCCATGGGCACGGCCATCCAGAGTGAAGGGTGTACAGTACATGAAGCGGCGAAGATTATAATTTTTGTCAAAATAAGTGATTCTGTCCTTCATCTCATATGTGTCAAAGTATGGCTCCACGTAGGTAATCTGAATGTATGCCTAGGAAAGAAAAAAGTCCCTCATTTGGCATTTCTCAGGTAAAACTGCACAGAGATCTCAAAGACATATCCATATGCCATTACAGTCTCATCAACCATACCTTGTTAGGATCTAATTTACACTTGTCTACAGGATTGGAGTCCTTGATCACTTCAACCACATCCTCTCCAAACCTTTCTCCATAAAATCCCTAAAAAAAAAACCCGAAAACCAAAACTTTTACATGAAGTTATTAACAGGATTACACAACAGAAAAGGCCTTTTAAAAAGACTCCTGAGCAAAATTAGGGGATTTGGTAAGGTCTGTAAAAACCATGTCAATAATTACAAAATAATAAATTATTTTGGCTTACAGAGATAATACTAGCTTATTAGTTAGTCAGTCCATACTTATGTGACATTATTCCCATCTAAGCACTTTACATAACATAAAATATGAGAAAACAATTTTTTCCAATAAAGATCAGGATTCCACAAGAGTCCTCAAGAGAAAAAGGAACAGACAGCCAGAAAGCAAAGACAAAAGAAACTCATTATCTTTGATGTATAGGATTTTACTTTGATTGAGTCTGATGAGGCCTGCTTTCTTAAAGACCACGGATTATTGAATGAATATATATTTTTATGAATAATTTTTTTAAATTCTCGAACTTTCAATAAAAAAGCATTGACCTGTTGAAGTTTTGTACAGCTTTAGATTTTGAAAAGGCAACCTTGGGTCAATAATGTAGTGACTATTCCAAACTGTATTGGGTAGCAGCATGGGCAACGGATGGAGCTATTCAAAAGGAAGAGTCAGAATCTTCAAAGGAGAACCCCCACCCCGATCCCAAAGGTAATTTTTACGATTAAGTTTGAGAAGTACAATCTCAATGTTTCCCAAGACTTACACGTAGCCTCTTGAAAAATAATGAGTCAGTTCGAGCCACTTTAGGAAAGCCGAGCCCAGTAAGTCATCAATAAGAATGAAACATCCAAGAAATTAATATCAGCTGAGAATAAAAATGCCCAGAGCACTGCTTCTCAAACTGTTATATGAATCCAAATCACCTGGGGATCTTGTTAAAATGCAGATTTTGATTCAGAAGGTCTGGGGTGGGGTCTGAGGTTCTGCATTTCAAACAATCTCCCAGGTATGCTAAAGCTTCTGGTCTATGGACCAAACTTTGAGTAACAGAATAGAGAAAGGCTGGAAAGAATAACTTTAACAGAAAAGATGTTAGCCCTATAGATATGAAGAACAATCATTTGCGGTGAAAATTAAGAAGTCATAAAGGTTAAGAGAAACGTTTTAAAGGTGTAATTTCAGGCTTTTAGGTTCTGAAAATATCTTTCTCACTGGGAACCAGTTAAGCCATAGAGATGATGTGCTTGGGTCAGAGATTTCTGGGGTTCTGGTTTGAGTTCCACCGTTCACAGCTACTTAATCACTTATGTCTTTTTCCACCCAACATGGATAATACTATATATTTTTCCATAAGTCACAGTAATTCTGAAGGATATAGGGGTTTCTAAAATATGTGTTACTGTTTTGTGAGTATGTAAATTAGCACAACCATTATGGAAAACACTATGGGGATTTCTCAAAGAGCTACCACTACATCCAGCAATCCCACTACTGGGTATCTACCCAAAGGAAAAGAAATTATTATTAAAAAAGACAACTGCACTTGTGTGCTTATCACAGCAGCAGTATTCACAATAGCAAAGTCAAGTGTCCATCAATGAATGATTGGATAAAGAAAATGTATGTGTGTGTGTGTGTGTGTGTGTGTGTGTGCGCGCGCAGGAATAATACTCAGCCATAAAAAACAATGAAATCATGTCTTTTGCAGCAACATAGATGAAACTGGAGGCCAATATCCTAACTGAAATAACAGAAGCAAAAAGTCAAATTCCACATGTTCTCATTTATGAGTAGGAGCTAAACAATGTACACACATGGATATCAGATTGAAATAAAAAACACTGGAAACTTCAAAAGGTGGGAGGGTGGGAGGGGAGTGAGGGATAAGAAATTACCTGCTGGGCACAAGGGACACTATTTGGATGTTGGTTACACTAAAAGCCCAGACTTTACCATCACGAGACATATGCATGTAACACAACTGCTCCTAAAACTATAAAAGTAAATGTGTGGCATGCCACTGCACTCCAGCCTGGGTGACACAGTGAGACTCCAACTCAAAATAAATAAATTTTAAAAAATGAATGTGTGAAAATAGAGTCTCAAAAAACAAAATTAATATTATTTTACCATTGCCATAAAAAACTTGAAGGATTTGAAAGAGAGTTATTGCTAATGATCAAAAATCCTTCTCTAATGGGCGTAGTTTATGTGACAAGATCTGGTTTATTCAACAATTAGATCTAGATCTGAAAGTGTATCACCAGAGAGAATACAAATTAAAGATGACATATTTTATGAACCACCACAGCATTCACCTCCAATCTGTGAGATATCTCTGCAAGTTTGGTTATTGCAGGCTCCTTGTAAACAAATTCTTGTTCATCCAAATCCCCGAACTTGGTTCCATAAAAACCAACACGAAAATAGGTGCCAAACATCCGCTTACCATCCTAGGTTTAGGAAAATGAAGAAACTTTAATATAAAATCTTTTCAGTTTCCACATTATGCTTAGACTGCTATACTGTAACATTTTCAAAACACTGCCCAAAATTTAAATTTGAAATAATAGTTTATTATTTTTCAAATGCAGGTAAAAACAAAGTAAACAATCTTTTTTTCATTATTTCTAACAGACATTAGGCAATTAGGTGGCTAAACCACATTTATACATATTTTTCAGTTTGTACCAAGTGACTATATCACATTGGTCTGCTTTAAAAGTCTATATAATAGAGATAAGTTAACACTTGTTATTGCAAGAAAAGATGCTTGGTGTAATATAATCTCTTAGTTGTGCTGACATGAGTGGATACTGGCTAAAGTTAAATTTAAAAACAACACTAACATTTTAAAATTAACACGAGCCTTTATATAACCCCTTTACAACTATTACATGAGACTGTAAGAGTTAGGAGTCAAGTATAGCACCTGGCATAGAGCGGACAATCAGTAAATGTCAAGACCCTCCAGAAGCACTAAAGTCAAAAATCTACAATTATTATCCCTATGCCAATAAAAAATTTACATGTGGAAGAGTAACTATAAATGGAATAGAAAGGACCAAATTTATGAATCAAAGACAATAAGAAAAAACGTTCTTGAGATGAGTTGGTTATTCTAAAGTCCCGAGCCCCCACTGCATGCATTTACCACACACTCGTATCAGGCACAAAGCCCACAAAGGCACCTTAACCTTAACTCTTGCACAGCACATCTGAAGACAAATGCTTTCAATAAGGATAAATACCTGGGTACCTTTCCACACAATTTTTAAAGTTAATGTTTGTTTGTTTTTTTAAAAAGAGACAGCCTCTTTAGTAGCTGAGATTATAGGTGTGTACTACCTTGCCTGGTTAATTTTTACAATTTAGATATAAAATTATGCTGGAAGGATTTTACATAACTACACATAAGTGTATACACAGCTACACAAAAGTATCTAAATGTCTCTGAATTCTCTTTAAGCCTAATCTGTTTTGCATTTATTTTTCCTATACTGAAAAAGCAAAAACATATATGAAATAAGCTAGAATTGATATAGATAATTAAGCAAAATGGGAAACTTTGATTCTTAATTTACCAGTTTTGTAATATCAAGAAAGAAGTACAGTGACTAAAAACATCCCTACATTTTTGCCTCAAAGAAGTAAAGTTTAAAGAAAAGTGTCTTTGGAGCTAAAGAAACTTGAGGCTTCTAATTTAAAAATATTTTTTCACAGTTACTTTTTTCAGAATTAAATAGACAACAAAATTAACTGATTTCTAGCAAAGAAACCTATCTAGATAAACTGTGTGAATTCAACCAAAATTCTGGTTTAAACAATCAGTAAGAAAATGAAACAATAATAGTAAATTTTGACATAAAATTAAGGAATGAAGGCACTGCATGGGGAAAAAAGGCATCTAAGAAAATTACTTAAAAATGTGTGATTACTTTTCAAAATATGTCATATATATGGTATACAGATAACATTCCTATTTTCTAAGACCACAAATACTAAAATACTGCTGTTCTACTGTCTTCCTTTCAGGGATTTCCAATTTAAAACAATATTCCACTTTTTCAATATTGTGGCCCTTTGAATATTCAAAGATGACAACTAGGACTTGTTTCCCTTAGCTAAACTTTCCAGTTCTCAATCAGTCTTCGTATGATAGAAATTACGACCTTGTTTGCATTTCATTAGTTTGCCATCTTTTAAAGTGTGATATTCCAGAAACAGACACAATACTGCTGATGTAATCTGACCAGTGAAGGCATATTAGTGGACTTACTGCCTTCCTAAATCTGGACACTGAATTTTGTTAATGCAGTTTAATACTGAACTGTCTCTTTTTATATACTTTTATCATCAGTTCAAGGAAAAAAAAATATTGAGTTTATATGTTAGCCACTGTTCATCTTCAGTAACAGGAAAATAAAATAAGACTTGTTCCCCAAGAGAGTTAAAATAGATCCAAATAATCATAGTATCAGGAACATATGCTATAATAAAAAGTGGTGTAAGAAGGGAAAGATTAATCCTGTTGGAATCGAGTCACAACAGGGGTGACACACATACAGGGTTCTGTGAATTGGCCAAGTGGATGGGGAAGGGAAGGGAAGGGAAGAACATTCCCATGGCGGGGGAAGGAAGGCAGATATAAAGTTTTAAAACAGAAGGCATGTGAGGGAAAGCATTCATCCATTCTCACATTTACTGAGTGACTATGTGTCAGCAAACTTGTTCTAGACATTTGTGATAAATCTGTGGACAAAAGGGGCCAAGCCAGTCAGGGCAGGTTTTATCAGGAAGGTGACATCTGAGAGGACTGACCAGATGCAAGAGATCATGTGGATCTGGGGGAGGAGCACTCCAGGCAGAGGAAGAGCCCGCACAAAGGTCCTGAGGCAAGAGGCGTGTTTGAGGGACAGGTCAGTGCAGAGTTACCACGCAGGAGAACAGGAGATAGGGTGAGAGAAGACACTACAGGGAGTTATTGGATATTTAAAGTGTGCACCCACGTGTGTGTGTGTGTGTGTGTGTGTGTGTGTGTGTGTGTGTGTGTGTGTGTGTGTGTGCTGGGGTGGGGGAGGGAATGAGGCTAAGGCTAGAGAGGAAGAAAGGGTGAGAGTTTGAGGAACTTGATTTTCAACTTTGAAAGCTGCCTCTGGTTTACAACTGGTCTTAGCCAGCTCATGGAGCATAGTCATTGCTTCGCCTTCAGGAAAAACATCACTTTATTTCCTCTCCGGAGTTTTGAACTATAGGGTGATACTTGGTTTTCCTTTAAATTAAAAAAAAAATCTACTTCCTGTAATCTAGCCTGTTTTTCCAGCATCTCCTTTCTTCACTGTTATGACCTCTGCCTGTCTGAACCTTTCATCACTCCCACACTTCAGCTTATTCTTCCTGAGCAGCTCTACTGACACTTGCACAGTCTTCTGGGCAATAAAACTATGTCCCAAAGAAACCCACCCACCACGTCTCTAAAGGTCTGAAGCCTCTTATGACACATGTCTCTGGACTCTGTCGTAATTTTGTTATCTTTAGCAAGAAACCGTCTGCTGGGCTCCTTGTATACTTTCACGGTGACATCACTTCTTTGACCCTCACCCAGTTGTCCTCCATTATGCTTCTTTTAGGTTAAGACTTCCCTACAGGCATACCAGTGTTTCACACAGTGGTAACCTCTTTCCTTCTACAGAATATTTATCTGTGTATTTTAATCGTAGATCTCAGCTTGGGAACATAACACCTCTTGGATTTTAATAGCCAAATTATGTTAAGATTTCAAATGATAGTAATGACAATACTAATGATGTTAAAAATCATAGTAACATCAACAGAAAATTACCTCCAACACTTTTTGAGTACTTAAAACATGCTAGACACTGGCTAACCATTTTATATGAATTATATCAATTCTTATCACAATTCTATGAGACAGATTTCACTATTTTCACCCTCATTTTGTAGATGAGAAAAAGTAACTTGCTCAAGGTCACAATATTAGTAAGTGGTGAAGCTGGGAGTTCAGCCCCAAAATATTTGACCACTGAATCTAAGTTTTGGGGTTTTTTTTGAGTCTGAATCTCACTCTGTCATCCAGGCTGGAGTGCAGTGGCACACTCACAGCCACCACAGCCTCCACCTTCTGACCTCATGCAATCCTTCCATCTCAGCCTTCCAAGTAGTTGGAACTACAGGCGTACACCACCATGCCCAGCTAATTTTTCTTGATTTATTGTAGTTGCCCAGGATGGTCTCGAACCCCTGGGCTCAGGCAATCCTTTCGCCTCTGGCCTTCCAAAGTGCTGGAATTACAGGTGTGAGCCACTGCACCTGGCCGAGTCTAAGTTCTTAATTAAGGTATATGTTCCCCATACTCCATGTACTGGCATAAATACTAGGACATCAGTATGACCCCTGAACTGTCTTCTACTTCTCTGATTTTTTTTTTTTGAGAATTCTTTGGAGAATTACCTCTCCCCCTATGTTCTGTCTGCCTCTATATTACAGCACCATCCTCTTACTGTAATGGGTTTGATGTTTGTATATCCTTCCTGTATACTCCAGTATAAAAATCAGGTGGACTTCTTACCTAACAAACATTTTCTTCTAAGATATATCCTCCTCCATTTCTTATCAGAGGTTCAGTTCTGACCATTCTATGCCCCAGTCCAGAAAAAAAGAAATCATGTCTAATATCATCTACATTGTAAATATTTGCTGTCGACATCACTTTAAAAAAATTTTTTAGCTGGGCTCGGTGGCTCAGCCTGTAATCCCAGAGCTTTGGGAGGCTGAGGAGTGTGGACTGCCTGAGCCTGCGAGTTCAAGACCCACCTGGGTAATTTGGCGAGACCTCATCTCTACAATAAAAATAAAAAATTAGCCAGGCGTGGTAGCGCGCACCTGTAGTACCAGCTACTTGGAAGACTGAGGCAGAAGGATCGCCGGAGCCCAGCAGGTCGATGCTGTGGTGGCTGGGAGCATGCCACTGCACTCCAGTCTGGGTGACAGAGTGAAACTCCAATTCAAAAAAAAAAAAATTTTTTTTTAGAGACAGGGTCTCATTCTGTTGCCTAGCTTGAAGTGCAGTGGTGTGATCATACCTCACAGTACCTCTGAACTCCTGGGCTCCCACCTCAGTCTCAAGAATAGCTGGGACTACACGTACATGCTGCCACACCCACCTAATTATTTTTTATTTTTAGTGGAAATGGAGTCTTGCTCTGTTGCCCAGGCTGGTCTCAAAATCCTGGCCTCAGGTAATCCTCCTGCTTTAACCTCCAAAGCTCTGGGATTACAGGAATAAGCTGCCACACCCAGCCTTCTCTTTTTCTTCTCAAAAGTAGCATAAGGGGTGGAAAAAAATGAGTGGTATGGCATATCTTATCAGTTGCTCAGTCAATTATCAGGGAGTCACCAGAAAGTATCTCTTCCTAGGAAAAATAAGATTCTTCCCATTTACTGTGTTTTCCTTAACATTCTTTTTCACATCTAACTTCACCTTCCTTGAGGTAAAGACTCATGAATGTTTTATACCTACAATGTTCTAATTTCTTCTTTAGAATGTCACATTTTCCCACTCAACTACCTAAAAATACTTGTTCTGACCGTGCTCTACCCTCTTGAATTTGTATTTCATGTTCTTCATTTCTTCCCTCCATTATAATTTGTTGTTTCCAATTCTGCTCTTATTTGCTTGGATGAGTTACTTTATCTCACTCAGTTTAAGTGTGGATTAAAGAATATAAAAATACAACAGAAGCCACTGAGCCAGAACTATGGCCAGTATTTCTCAGCATATAAAAGCCCACATATTCATATTCATGTCCTTCTGGTCCCATAATACGAGTTAAGACACAGTCATTTTGCATGTGTCAATCTCAAGAGTTAGAGTTTTCTACATTCCCCTATTAGTGATCTATAGACAGAATTAAATTCAACAAAGTCAAGTCCATCTTCTCTAGCCTTTCTAGTGGTATTTTCTTTAAAGGAATATGTTGTAATCTTTAAGAAAAAAAAAATGAAGACAGTATCATGTGACTATGTTATCAGTGTTTGGGGATTAATTTTTCTGAAAATTTTAAATTTTCACTAGTGTACTTTTGAACACAAATTGATCACTATCTGATAAATAAAACAAATACGTCTTAAAAAGAAATATATACACAAAATAGGAATGGGCTATAAAATTTTCATATAGAAAATTTCTCTTTTAAAAATAATTAAAAATGCATCATAAGAAATACATGTTAAGATATTTTATTTTCTATTCTTTCAAGAAAAATAAAAAGGCTTTGGAAAAATAAAAAATAAAAGTGAACGCTAAACAGCCATGAACAAACTGACCTGGCAGAGATGATTACAGCCACGTCATTCCTGAAGGGTTCAGATTTGTTATTTTGCATGGTTAAAAACCTTACCAAAATGTGTGAAATGGTAAGTTTCAGAGTTATCTTTTTACACACATACACACACACACACACACACACACCTGTAAAACTTTGCCAACTCAAATAACTTGTACTAAATAAAAAAGCATAATAAAAAATGAATGACATTACTAATACAATAACTACATTACTATATAAGCCCAGAAGGGTTTCTCCTGTAAGTCAGAGAGTAAGTTATCAACTCAAAAAGTCTCTCTACAATGTAGAGATTATCCTTACTGGATTTTAATCCAGTGAGAATTCTATGAGAATACTAGGAAATTAGTTAAGAAATATACTTTTAGAAAAAATAAAATTACTGAAGTTTTCAGAGTAAAAAAGAAAAATATTCACAAGATAGAACTTACCACAACAGACAATAGTAAAAGTAGGGAGTAGGGTCAGCAACCAGGGCAAGAGAGAAGAGAAAACAGAAAGCATTTTAATTACAGAAATTTCAAAACAAATAAGCAGCAAATGGTAGAAAACACATTTTAAAATGCAAGCATCCATTTAAGTTTCACAAGGGAAAAGCAAAAAACAAACGTGCAACAAATTTAGCAGCTACAAAGCTAAAGGTCCAGTGAAAGGTAGTAACAAGAATATAAGCACGAAAATAAAGTCTGTGTGACTTTTACCATGCAATATGACAGAATGATATTAATGTCATAACCAGTGGAAATTATACCTTTCAGGGGTCGATTTAGCATCAAGGAGACGCATCATAAACTGCTCAGAGGTTTCAAATATTCTTTAATGCCTGATGTTTAGTTAATTCTACTTCATGTGAGGGAATCTATAGGAACTTTATCATTCATAACCATGGCAAGTCTCTTGACATATGTCTTAACTGAGCCACAGAAATAAGGGATTATATTTTAGGTATTCATAAGGTCATACACATTTACTCTGAAGAATTAAGGGAGATCTGAAGGTACTAGCTTCATCTGAAGAAAAGCAAAAGGTGGGAACTATTTCAGAAATGAAAGAAAACTCAGTGATAACATTTATTCTTAAGGCTTTCTACTTCAGTCTCAAAACAAGGATTGTAGCCAGACACGCCTATAATCCCAGCACTTTGGGAGGCCGAAGAAGGAGGACTGCTTGAGCCCTGGAGTTAGAGACCAGCCTGGGCAACACAGTGAGACCTCATCTCTACCAAAAAAATAAAAAATTAGCTGGATGTGGTGGCACACACCTGTAGTCCCAGCTACTCAGGAGGCTGAGGAGGAAAGGTCACCTGAGCCTAGGAGGCTGAGACTGCAGTGAGCTGTGATTGTGCCACTGCACTTCAGTTTAGTGAGATCCAGACTCAAGAAACAAAAACAAAAACAAAAACAAGGATTGCAATGCAAAACCAGAGAGGCCTAATCTGTTTAATCAACATAAATCTGACTACAAAGTGAGAGGCAAAGCACACAATTTACAAGTACATCAAGCTTTAAGTAAATCTGGTCTATTACTTTGCTTTACCTCATCAAGATAAATTAGGATGTACTTTATAGAATTCTTTCCTTTATGGGAAGACTTAAAACAACAGTAATTAATTCTTCCTATCACTTTTCACACGGATAACTACTACAGAAGAGGAAACACATGCAGCCTTATTAAACACTAACAGCTCAACCACTGTCGGATATGAAATCAAATTAAATCTCAAGTTCTCTCAACCTCCTTATCCCTCTCCCCAAATTATTTAAATGACAAAAGTTAATTTCTTCCCTTGGTAGTGCTTATACTCAAGGTGAGGTGACTCAAGATCAAATTTAACACAGTAGTTGTCTCACCAATTCTAAGATGCACATTTTTGCCCAAATTTTGTTCACCTTTCAACTGATAGGATGCCCTGGTTTAATACCCCAGGGTTTTTTTTTTCTTTTATTTTAAAGGCGTATAGAATAACAGTATGTTTTATAATTGATGGTGTCTTAGATCACATGGAACATAGTATTTTCTATTTACCTCTGAGCAACAACACATAAATCGACCTCTGTAAAATGAGGTGAAACAATATGGTTAAAAAAAGAAATCTGTGTGTAAATGTTGATAAAAGAAATGCTTCAAAGGATAAAAACAAACTAAAGTGATGACAAAGTGGCTCATTTACCAAAGAATCTCATTAGTGTAACATGTGGATTCCCATGCACTGCCTACAACCTCTTAATAATAAATTTCTTAAAATAACTTACAGTATTTTAACAAAATTTCTTTGGTTAATGAATTCAGTTGATAGCAGATAGCAACAGAATGCCCACAGCTAGCACATGTGGGCTAAGCATTGGCATAAGAAATCTGATCAAATCAATCTATTAGTGTCTTTAACTAACTAAAACATTACCTACCTCCCAGCCAGTACTCTGTATAATAAAAAGTAAAAAAGGGCAAGTCATAAAAAAAACTGTTTAAAAAGAACAAAAAAGGCCAAAGGTACCATATACCATATATTCTCCTCCACAAACAGAAAATAGCAGGATATTTTAAATAGCATATTCTTTCACTTAAGATCTTCAACAATTTTGCAAATTGCTTGCTTAAAACCTAATAGCTAAAATTTTGCCTTTTAAACACTTTAAATGAAAGTACAGGTTTTGGAGAAAGCGAGCCAGCTGCTTGTTCCATTTATGTTTAAATTAGACATGTCACTAAGGTGAGCTGCACTTTACTAAAGTATCCAGGATAGATTGGAATACAAATTGCAATTTTGCTCAAGTGACACTGACACAGGTTCTTGGAAACGGCTAGTTCTAGATGTTCCAGACCTGACATTTATAATTTGCAATTTACGACTCTAGGAGCTGGGATGAGATTTCTCTGATAGTGTACATATAACTGATTCTTAAAAGACCCAACTGCTATTATCATGAAACCTAATCAATCAACTTCAGCATTTTAGAAGAGGACAATAAAATCCTGACTTAAGAAGACAACAGCCCTAATTTAAGACTGTTTATATCAATTCATCTAGAACAGTTTAGCCCATGGCAAGAAAGAGGCGGTCAAGCTGATAGACAATAAAGTAGGACCAGGACTGACTAGAGAGGTGGACCATCAGAACTCCACCACCTGCTTAGACAAGGGCAGCAGCAGGTAAGAGCAGGGGAGCATGGGGGAAGGGGACAGAAAAGCGGAGAGGAGGCTCAACAGGACATTTCAGAGTATTCCAATGGAGCCAAGAACTTTGTCTGAAGGAAAAAAATTGCTAATAGTTTGCTTCAGTTTTAAACCAAGTTTAATTGATTCCAATTTTGGTCATGATATGTAGATTGTATGATGAACTATAAATATCAAGTGCTGAAATCATACTATTATAATATACATAAGACAACCATTTTATTCATAATTTTCACTAAATATTATTTTCATATTAGAAATACATCAAAGAAGGAATAAATGCAAACATCTAGCAAAAACAGTTAAAGTTCATCTGTAGTCATTAAAAATATTAAGAGTTTATTAAAGTTTCACATCACTTGATAGAAAATTAACTTAGACAAAGAAACTTTTCTGGCAGCCAAGGAACAGATATTAATTTAAAGATCAGATTCATAATTAAAATCTACATGTGAAACAAAATAAATCCCATTTTTTGAAAATTGTTAACTAGTAATAATTTTTTAAATGGAAAAAAAAAAGCTTTGTGGAAAGTTTATGATGGTCATCATTTACTTTAGGTGAATTCCATTTTTGTTAATGAGCCTTGCTTTGGCCATGAACTATCATTTTGACTGCTCATTTGTAACCTGATTCAAATGGTCATTTCATGGGATCTAGTTTGACAACAGTACAAAACAACACTAATGCATTTAGACGGTTTTCTCCACTTACACTGAAGGCAGAAATTGGAACCATTACCTGATGCACAATTTTGCTGAAGGCTTCTTGGAGTTTACCATGGATTGTGGACAGTTTCTTTGCATCCCGATTAGCTTCATGAATAGGAATAAGTACTTTGTAAACCTCATTAACTGCTTCATACATGCCAGCCTATAAGAATAACGTTTATAAGATATTTCCTTCTTTTACCTCAGTAAGAAAGTAAGATAATTACAATACATGAATTCACAATATTTTTATTAAGACAATACCACAAAAGCTTTTGCAACAAAACATAAAGACATATATAACTAATTTTTAACTGTATTAGCCTTAATAAAATAATTTTACACCATATGTCATCTCCTCTGGATAAACAGATATGTTTGTAGGTATGTGTATGTATGTGTATATTGATATTTCCTTCTATCTACCCAATAATTACTTCACTAAGGTTAATGTGTGTGTGTGTGTGTGTGTGTATACTTATTTAGGAATTTAAACTTTTGCAGAAAGGAATTCTGAGCAGAGGAATAAAAGATATCTAATATTACACTGGTTACAGATCGCCGGGGTTCTGCTATAATCAGATAAATTAATTTAGTTTCCCAGGAGAAAACTAAAAATATTTATTTTTACAAAGGACTAAATTAAATTGGTAATTTCCTATAGGATATCGCTTAGGAAAAAGCCACTGATCTTTAACAAAGCACGAGAAGGTTCTGAGCTACCAGATTTTCTTCCACTGGGGGTTAGTTGGTCAGTGGATAGCCAGAGGTTGTTATGGTTATAGTCAGAGTGAGGAGCAAGATATTCATGTATGCTCTTCCACTCCTCCTCAATAATGGATTGGTGCTGGAGTAAGAAAAGAGAGAGGTTTTCCAAAAGACACTGAGTTCTCAGTGCTTCACAGATTAGCAAACAGATTTTTCCAAAGAATAATATATAATCCTTATATTTTCTAGTCAGGTCACAAGAGTATATTTTAGCAATCAGGTAGGTGCAGTAGTGAAATATGTTTAGTGCAGCTAAAATGCCCCCGTAATTATTTTAAAAATCAAACAAATTAATTGAAAAAGAATGAAATTTATAATTACATACAACTGCAAAATTATTTCTGTAATACAGGCTACTGTCCCCTGATCTAAATGCACTACTATGAATTATTAAAATTACACACACACAAATACACCCAGAGTTATGTTGAATAAGATATTATGTTAATAGCAAAATACTCTTTTCCCGCTACTAGTTCAGCCCAGGCTAGGGGAGAAATTGTCAGCGCTCTCAAAAGAAAGATATTTTAAAGATAACCAACACCTAATATTTTATCTGAAAAAAATACTTTTTAAAAACTCTCAAAATCATTATATGTAAAGGAACTCGATGTTCCAATAATGATGAAGAGGATGATAACAGCAAACACACTAGTTCTTACCTGGAACCAGGCGCTGTGATAAGCACTTTACTTACATTAACTCATTTAATCCTGTTAATACTCCCATGAGGCTGGTACTACTATTAGATGTATATAACAGATAAGAAAAGTGAGGCACCAATAGGTTGAGTAACTGTGCCTGAAGTAACACAAGTATTAAGTAGCAGAGCCAGGATTTGAACTTTGGCAGTATGCCTTCTAAATCTACCCCTACCTAACATATTGCAAGATGGGGTAAGGCTTAGAGAAGAAATAACCAATTCCCAATGGTGATCCAATGGAGAAGGACTGCATTGCTCATTACCTCTCTTTCCCCAACATGAACCTTAGTGTCTCCTAAATCTTGGTGCTGGGATACTAAACACTCAGCAGAAAAGTGAGTGAAAGTAGGTGACCCTATCAGCATGGTTCAAGAAGGTCCATAGAGATTTGGCTCACTTTTCTTTCCCAGTAAACACCCTATCTGGGTTTCCCCCTGACTTTCAATTCTCCACATACAGATGGAAGGGAACAAGGACTGGAATTATGGCATGGTAAGGTAGTCAGGCAAGGGATTCAGAATATAGTTCATAAAGCTAAAAGCATCCTCCAGGCCTCCAATACCTACCTAATAAGGATCACCATGCAACTCATGCAATGAGGGACTACAACTTTCCTGGACAACAGAGCAATGCCCAACATACTGGAAAGAAGATTCTTCCTTCTATCTAATGGACAACCTCATTACAGAGTTATGACAGTCTACCCAATGCGGAACTTAAATCACCCAGAGACTTTTGATTTGTTGTGCTCTGTTTTTTAATTTAAAGGTTTTAGAAAATGCTTGGTAATGTTTTGTGAACCAAAATGCATCTGCTACAGATTACGTTGGTTCATTTACAAGCAAATAAAAAGCACTGGGAAAAGTGACATGTTATTAAGACAAAAAGGAGTAAGCAATGATAAACAAGAAAGAAAATCCATTCCTACATAGCTTTTAAGGGACTTAGAAGAAACTATCTTAAAAGTAGGGTCATAAGACAAAGATGATAAGTATGCATGTCGCTGGTGATTTAAATGCATGAAACTGTTGTCGAAGAATGAACACAAGTCATCTACCATAGAGAAAGAAGCAGCTGCTTGTTCCAGTAATCCCACAAGTCCTGACTCAGTAAAGTACTTTCCAGAGCAGATGCCTTCCTCATCTGGAGATACCACGTCATCTGAGACTGCAGATTCTTCTAAGACATTAGATGAAATATTCTAGGGGAAAAAGAGTAAAAAGGTTTGTGAAACAGAGTTAATTTCCTAGCATGAAAAAATGCTTAAGAAGAAATAATTGAAGATAAAATATAACTATCAGCTTAGGTTAAAAAAAAAAGAATGGCTGATATTGAAGACAAAAGATACATCTCCGAAAACTTTCTGTACATTGAAGACAATAATAAAATGAAAACACCACTGCTAGATAACTCTTCCCTCAATAAAAAATTGTGAGAAAGAAAATTCAGGCTGGGTGCGGTGGCTCATGTCTATAATCCCAGCACTTTGGGAGGCTGAGGTGAGAGGATTGCCTGAGCCCACAGGTTCGCGAACAGCCTGGGCAACTTGGCAAGACCTCATCTCTACAATAAATAAAGAAAAATTAGCTGGCTATGGTGGCACACATCTGTTGTTCCAGCTACTTGGAAGACTGAGGTGGAAGGATCGCCTGAGTTCAGCAGGTTGAAGCTGCGGTGACCGTGAGCATGCCATTGCGCTATAACTTGAGCAACAGAGAGACTCCAACTCAAAAAATAAAAATAACGGGGCAACCCCTTCAGGTCCCCTCCCACTGTGGCAGCTTCTCTGTCCTCTCAATAAATCCTGCTTTCTCACTTTAAAAAAAAAAAAAGAAAATTCATGGGCTAAAAAAACAAGTGATATGATACAGGACATCTAATCTTATTGTATCCTAAATTTAAATTAAACATTTACAGTAGATATACACTCATTTGTCAACTTCTGAGTAGGTCTAAGGCCTTTCTTCATAGATGAGTCTCCAGATTTCCATGTGATTTCTTTTGAGTAATATCCATAATACATCATTCTTTTTAAGATTTCCAGTTTTAGTTTCTTTAAAGTAGAGTGAAAACCTGTTCTTAAAAAATCATCAAATTATCTTAGATTTTTAGGAACTTCTCCCAATCTTTTAAATTTATTTCATATAAAATCAATTAAATTGTAATTATTTTGAAGACTTACCTTTACTGAGTCTTTGCAGAGTATTCAACTTAGTTTTCATAGAAACAATAACTTTCTTTGTGTATTCTGATTTCATCAGAAGACATAACACTTAAGTAAATTTCACAATATTCCAAATTTGCCAAGAATAGGTTTTAAAGAAATGCAAAGAATAAATGATTCTTGACAAGCAAAGAATTCAGTAGGTGGGTCAAAAGCATGTACCCTACTAGAGGGTAATCTTATTTTATACAGGGAATGGAGACTGTTGGTATATTTGGTGTATTAAGTAAAAGCCAATTAAGAGTTTTTGCCAATTCTGATTCTCACTATTTTGAGGGTGACACTTTTTTTTATTTGAGTTAGAGTTGTCTGTTGTCCAGGCTGGAGTGCAGTGGCACCCTCACAGCCACGGTAGCCTCGACCTGCTGGGCTCAGGTAGATCCTTCCATCTCAGCCTTCCAAGTAGTTAGAACTACAGGTGTGCGCCACCACACCAGCTAATTTTTTGATTTACTGTAGAGACGAGGTCTTGTCAAGTTGCCCAGGCTGGTCTCGAACCCCTGGGCTGAGGCAATACTCCAGCGTCTGCCTCCTAAAGTGCTGGGATTACAGGCATGAGCCACCATGCCCCACCTGAGTGTGATACATTTTCACAGATACTAAGGTCTAGAACTGATTACAAAGCAGTAAAGGCCAAGAGAATAAATTTACATAGTGCTGACAATTCACAAGTAAGAAAGTGTGGCAAGAGAATCAATAAGAAGTACTCTTTAAAAATGTATTAATGATTAGCTGGGCATGGTAGCACAGTGCCTGTAGTTCCCGCTACTTGGAAGGCTGAGGCAGGAGGATGGCAGGAGCCCAGGCCACTGCCCTCCAGCCTGGGTGACAGAGTAAGACTCCAACTCAAAAATAGTAATAATAATAAAAATAAGCCAGGCTCGATGGCTCAGCCTGTAATCCCGTGCCTTTGGGAGGCTGAGGTGAATGGATTGCCTGAGCCCGCGGGTTCGAGACCCACCTGGGCGGCGAGACCTCATCTCTACAATAAATCAAAAAATCAGTCGGGCGTGGTAGCGCATGCCTGTAATTCCGGCTACTCGGAAGGCTGAGGTGGAAGGATCACCGGAGCCTAGCAGGTCGAGGCTGCGGTGGCTGGGAGCGGCCACTGCACTCCAGTCTGGGCGACAGAGTGAGACTCCAACTCAAAAAAATAATAAATAAATAAAATTAAATAAAATAAAAATATATATTAATGACAGCAACAATGAAATGTCAATTCACCTCTGGAACACTGCTTTAAGTCTTTAAGCTCTCCTTACAAACTGAAAGACTCTCAACTCCAGTGAGATGGTGTTGAGAAAACCAAGAAAGGACATACCTCGAGTCCATGCACATCTGGCAGACTCCTACCTGAAAGGTCACACATCCCACAGGCAGATACTTCCGGTCTTCCAGCATGCTCAGGTACTCAGCCACCAGTGCTGCCGAGTGGACCAGACACTGCGCGGCTTCAGCGTGATTGCTCCGCTCCGAATGCTTGCCGGCCATGTTCTGCAACCAGGTCAGTCGCAGGTCTGGAGAGGTCTGGTAGCCCTTGGCAATTCTAATCAGAACAGAGATTCTTCACGATTAGTCTATGCTTCCCAAGACAGGAGGGATTTAGACAGCTTGCTCAGAATTGAACCAGGCAGGCGTTTGCTACTGCACACAACCTATTAAGTTTTCAAGTAGCATGGAAACGCCGTTGTGTGTGCATAGATAAACAACTGTGGTCTATGGAATGGACAATACCAGTTTGTGGGGGTGGGGTGACGACAAAAAAAGACACGCTGTATTAAAATCTGACCACTGGGTCACCCCCTTGGGACCCTTCCACTGTAGGAGCTTTTCTGTCCTCTCAATAAATCCTACTTTCTCTAAAAATAAAATAAAATAAAATCTGATCACTAAAGAAACCATAAGTAAGGGAAAAAGTAGGGGAATGTATGTGTTCATTATGGAAATATAGAGAAGTTTTATGTTTTTTATAAGGAAAAAAGACTTGTATAAGGTAGTTTTATCACATCATCTTTATTTCAAAGAGAATAAACTTGTTTTATTTGTGCCTTTAATAAACCCCAAAACTATTCAGTCTCTATGGACAACAGTGTGGCAATTAATAAAAGAACTAGAAATTGACCTTCCATATGACCCAAAAATCCCCCTACTGGAAATATACCCGGAGGAACTCACATCATTCTACAAAAAAGATACCTGCACATGCATGTTTATTGCAGCCCTATTTACAATAGCAAAAAACAGGGAACCAACCATGCTGCCTGTCAAAACTGGAATGGATTTTAAAAAATGCGGTACATATACATGATGGAATATTATGCAGCCATAAAGAAGATCAAACCGGGCTCAGTGGCTCAGCCTGTAATCCGGCGTTTTGGGAGGATGAGTTGAGTGGATTGCCTGAGCCTGCAGGTTTGAGACCCGCCTGGGCAGCTTGGCGAGACCTCATCTCTACAACAAATCAAAAAAATTAGGCGGGTGTGGTAGCCGGATGTAGTCGTTCTAGCTACTTGGAAGGCTGAGGCGGAAGGATTGCCGGAGTCCAGCAGGTCAAGACTGCAGTGGCCGGGAGCAGCCACTGCACTCCAGTCTGGGTGACAGAGTGAGACTCCAACTCAAAAAAAAAAAAAGATCAGAATTATGGACTTTGCAGCAACTTGGACGGATTTAGAATCTGTCATACTCAGTGATCTATCACAGAAACAAAAACCGAGTACCACAAATTCTCACTCATAAGCAGACCCTGAATATTTACCATAATACTATTAAAAAGGGATTGGCAGTAACCGGAAACTGTCGGGGGCGGTGGGGGAGGAGGGCACATAACATCAATAAGGGTACCCTATCTCAAACCAGGCAAAGTGGGGACCAAAGGGAGGCCCAAACTTTACCTGTACGATGGCCACTGGTATATCTAATCCTGAATTGTACTCCACATCTTTAAAATAAAATTTTTAAAAACCCAAAACTGTGAGAAGAGATGGTCATATGGCAACAAACAAACAAAAACCCCTGAAGTTTTACCATTTATATCTGTTAGGATACAATAGGAAGCATAGATTTTTCAAACTATGCCCCTAGAAATACTATTCTTTAGGCATAACTACCTTGAAAATCAGGCCGTTAATATTATGATAAAATATTCATGTACTGTTTTTTCTTCTTACAAGACAGATTTTTATATTTGAAATATGGGTCTTGGCCTTCCTAAGAAATCTGGGGCTCAGGACACCAAGGTGATAAATATGTGTTGTGATTATTTTTTAAAAGCTTGTTTTTGATAATCAGTAAATATACTTGCACAATTCTTAACAGAACTGACACAGAAGATTTGACAAAGCAGCCTGAAAAAAGCACATTTGGACTTTTAAATCTACCATTAGAAAAATCTCTTAAATGTTTCTCTATGTTTTTTTTTCATCTAACGCTTTCTGTGTATCTTACTAAGCCCATTATACAAAGTGTATGCGAATCAAACAAATGCTACCTGTACATGAGATCGATCAACATTTCAGGATCCTCCTGGTGTTCCTTCATTTTAACAGTATCAGAAAGGATCATATGGAGATTGAAAACCAAATCTTGGACCTGCAGCAGGGAATTATATGAAAAATGTTCTTGAATTATCAGTCATTCACAATCTCTAAATTAGTTTGGGAGATATGTCAGATAAGTATCTAAAGATTTCAAAGCAAGTTGTACGACACTGACATGGTCCGCAGCTGCATGCAGGTACGCCGGGATATGAGAGTGAAAGATAGTAAACTAATCCATGCTAGGCAGACTATGCTTTTTCAGTTCTCTCATCTGGAAATAGGTAGTACAAGCAGAAATAAAAATACAGGGATATAGAGAATACAAGAGTGTATGTTTCTGGTTTTACTAAAAGGTAGTTTGTAGAAACCTTAGTTTTTAGAGGCAGATTACTATTTGATTAATAAGTGAAAATAACATTTCATCATAAAGCTTTATCTATATTGCCTAAGTCTACTGTTCTACTTGTTACAAACACAAAGACATACACACCAAAGATATTAACTATTCCAACATAGAAGGGTAGCTTAATAAGACAAAAAGATCCAGTCCTATCTATGGCACATGATATGTAGATAGAAAGAGAAATAAAGAATCCTCCAGCGAAATCCAACATTTGATTTAACAATCTGGAAAGAGCCTATTTAACAAGTCTATTTCAATTAATGATCTAGAAAGCAGTATTTCTGACCTGATCAGGAAAAGTTGTTTCCCTCAATTCCAGATCTTCTTCTGCATATGTCAATATAGTCTTTAGAGAACGTCTTAAGAATTCTTCATTAAAATTCTGGGATGTGCCCACCAAGGAGGATAGTGACATTGTTACTTGCATTTTAACCCTGGCAAAGTTCTGTAACAGAGAAATTGTCAGGTCAATACTTTACTACAGAAAGCTTTAAAAAGTCTTCCTTTTTTCCTTGCTAAAAGGTTATTTAGTGAAAAAATACCATTCTAAGAAAAAAAATTTAAGTAATGAAATACGCATATCAAAATCTTATTTCAGAAAGGATATAGCACTTAGAATTTTGCTGTGAATAAGTGTTACAAAACAGCTTTTTAAAAAGCTATGTGTTAGAGTTGAACTAGAAATTGTGCCTAGGTCTTTACATTTATCTATTACGAGGTCTATGTTATTAATAACACCACTTCACAGATGTTAAAGAGCTTGACTGACACCACAAAGTTCTTAAACGATAGATGTTTTATTTAAACTCTAGTCCATTTCATTCTATCCATACTATGAAGAAAGTCAATTAACACACAACATGTGTAAAGTAATATAGGGTAGAATCTTTTGGAGTGATGGCTTCAAGAGTTTATAACTTACATTCTAGCTTTTTTAGGGTAAATTCATTTCTGCTTTGCCATTCCCAACTACGAAATTACTCAAGAGGTTACTGGTGACAATATACTAATTGTCAAATCCAAGATTATTTTGGCCAGTATTCTACTTAATTTCTTTGGACATGTAAATTTATTGCTTTCTCCTTGAAAATGCCCTGCCTCGCCTTCAGTGGCACCACTTTACCCTGGTTCTTCTATTCTTTATCTATCCTTTTCTGTTTCATTTATTCCTTGGTTGTCTTTCTTAAATACCAATATTCCCAAATGTTCTTTTTTGTCACTTGACATATACTAAAGAGCCTCACCGTTGCCTTTGTGTCCACCAGTAGATATGCATGTTTCTGTCTTCAGCTCTTATTTCTCTCTAGGGTGCCAGACTATTACATTTTACTAGCTAGCTCCATATGAATTTCTTACAGGTGCCTCAAAATCAACATGTTTAAAATAATCTTTCTTTCTATTGATTATCTAAATAAGTAATGCTACTATCCTTGTAGCCACTCAGGCCCCAAATCTAATCATTCTCCCCTCTCGTTTTTTCATACAATAAATCCAGTTCACACCGTCCCTAATCCATTCCAGTCTGTCCTTTCTCCATTCCCAGTGGAGAGTTTATTTACAACCTTACCATTTAGCTCACAATCTTGCCATTTCTTATTCGGATAACTGTGATAACTTCCTACTCAATCCCATGCCCTTTTCTCTTATCCCCCTCAGTTTATCTTCTACATAGCATGAGGGAAATTTTTGTAAAATGCAAATCTGAACACATCACTCCGCTCCTTATAAAACAGTCCATTAGCTCCTTATAGTTTGAGGACAGAATTCAAGTATTCAACTCAGAAAATATGTCAAGTTATATAGTAGGCACTGAGGATATAGTGGTAAACAAAACAAGCATCTGTCTCTGACAGCTTAGTCCAGGTCTTTTCTTTTTCTTTTTTTTTTTGAGTTGGAGTCTCACTCTGTCGCCCAGACTGGAGTGCAGTGGCCGCTCCCAGCCACCGTAGCCTCAACCTGCTGGGCTCTGGCGATCCTTCCGCCTCAGCCTTCTGAGCAGCTGGAACTACAGGTGCATGCTACCATGCCTGGCTAATTTTTTGATTTATTGTAGAGATGAGGTCTCACCAAGTTGCCCAGGCAGGTCACGAACCCACGGGCTCAGGCAATCCACTCACCTCAGCCTCCCAAAGCACAGGATTACAGGCTGAGCCACCGAGCCCGGCTAGTCCAGGCTTTTTCAGTGACAACTTTGCCCCCTGCTACTCTCTCTTCCAGCCATGATCATGCAGAAGTGCTAAGAAAGTGTCTGTGTTTGCCTGTTTCCTTCCCTTACCTCCATGCCTTTCTAACTATGCGTGCGCCATTGCCTTACTGAAAAAGCGCTGTCCACCTATCCATCTGACTGGGTGGTTCTTCCTTCTTAATTCAAGCATCTCTTCTTTCCGAAAACCCATCCCTGAAGCATAAGCTATTTTTCTATACATTCTTTTTTTCTGTGTTTATCCCTCATCATATTAACAACAGCAAGCACTTACTCAGCACTTGCTTAGGGCCACTTACTGTTACATGCTTTACTAAATGTTAATTTACATAACACCCACAAAACCATCTGAAATAGATGAACATTACTTGCACATATCCTTGCCCAGTAGGTGCCAAGCTACTTAAAAAAGGACTGTCCTTTTATCTATGTTTGCTCAATGCCTACCACAGTACTCAGAACACAGCATAATACTGTATTGCACGATGTGCCTGTTAAGTACGGGCAAGATGTGCGTGCCACAGCAAAATCCCAGCAAAAACACACTCATGAAGGAACTTCCAACAAGTATCTAGGCCAAGATCACCCAATTTATCCTATTTTGAGTAATAAAAAGATAAAGAAGATCAGAAAAACTCAAGTGCTCTTTAGCTAGTAAGTTTTGATGATTTTCTCAGGCTTTTTATCAAAGACTGAGGCAAATATTTCATAACCACCCTTTGATGTCCTATAAGCATAGACAGCTTTTAACAATCAAGAGCTTGGAAAATATCATTCCCCCAAGCCTTCATGAGGACAATAATGGGAGTGCCAAGAAAAGTACACACATTTTAAGAGATATAAGAGATGTCTGTCATAATCAGAAGTGTCTGGACAGTAATGATTAGCACGTTGAGCACCCCTTGTAATTGCAGAAGTCAAACGTGACTCCTATTCATTTTAGACTAAAAACTAAGACTAAAAATGTTAAAAATAAGAAAAAACTGGGAAAGCGAGAAAGAAGATGGAAAGAAGGACTTTGTCATATTGGCTATAGATATAAATCACATTATTTGAAACTGGCAATTAAATCAAGTGAAGTAGCGGGGCTCGGTGGCTCAGCCTGTAATCCTGAGCTTTGGGAGGCTGAGGTGAGTAGACTGCCTGAGCCCATGGGTTCAAGACCCGCCTGGGCAACTTGGCGAGACCTCATCTCTACAATAAATAAAAAAACTAGTTGGACGTGGTAGTGCATGCCTATAGTTCCAGCTACTTGGAAGGCTGAGGCGGAAGGATCGCCAGAGCTCAGCAGGTCGAGGCTGCAATGGCCAGGAGCAGCCACTGCACTCCAGTCTGGGCGACAGAGTGAGACTCCAACTCAAAAAAAAAAAAAAAAAAAATATTCAAGTGAAGTACATGAGAATCAACAGTACAAATGTGAACAGAAAGAAAGATACTCTGGCCGGGTTCGGTGGCTCAGCCTGTCATCCCAGCACTTGGGGGGCCAATGCCTGAGCCCGCATGTTCAAGACCCATCTGGGCAACTTGGCGAGACCTCGACTCTACAATAAATAAAAAATTAGCTGGGCGTGGTCACGTGCGCCTGTCATTCGGCTACTTAGAAGGCTGAGGTGGAAGGATTGCCAGAGCCCAGCAGGTCGAGGCTGCGGTGGCCGGGAGCATGCCACTGCACTCCAGTCTGGGTGACAGAGTGAGACTCCAACGCAAAAATAAATAAATAAAGATACTTTACTGGAATACTGAGGTAGGAAGAATGGCAGGGAGGGCCGAAGGAATCAGAATTTCATCACTGTTCGTTAAAGGCAGTAAATAGACACTCAAGCATGCTTTTCAACATTTTTTTCATTACTGTCCCAATAAAACTTTTTAAACACTTTTTTCCTAATCATACCCCTAAGAAATTTTAGTACCAGAGATGGACTGTATATCTGTTTATGTGTTCTACATGTATCTGGATTTATGCATACATAAGAGAATAAATATAAAGCTATTCTTTGTATTCAATGCAAGGTCATGAATGACTAAACAAAAATTTTAAGTTAAAAATCTGAAAATAATTTATATTGAACTTAACTTTATAGCTCTGTTTGCTGAGAAACTTAATTTTTTTTTTTTTAAGAGATGGGGTCTTGCTTTATTGCCCAGACTGAAAGCAGAGGTCTCAAACTCCTGGATTCAGGTGATTTTCCTGTCTCAGTCTCCCAAAGTGGTGCGATTACAGGAATGAGCCACTGTGCCCAACCCTAGGAAACTTTTAATATAATCACTTTGCTTAAATAAACTGTAATGTATCAAATTATACACGCATGCCCAAGTCACAAACAAAAGCACCGAGAATCAAACATTAAGACAATATCCACAAGGCAGCCAATGAAGGCAACCTCTTGCCACATGACTTTAAGATCAAGCAATTGATTACAAGTCCCCTAATCACGGTCATTTATTCTCCACAGTTTTGTAACTGTGATCTTGCATATTTTTTTTTGTTCTCTGTGTATTCTCCATGAACTTAAGTTCAAGTGATACCCCATTAGACCAAGGAGAGCAACAGCTACTGAGGAACGTGATGCTGTTGGGTAGTGTTGAGCTTTGGAGGGCCATAAGCCATTGTAAAACCAAGATTTTTTCATCTCCCCAAAAGCCAATTTTCATTCCTTTGGCAATACTGCTCCCACTGAGAATGTAAGACCTAAGGAAATAGAAGTCTGGGGGTATTACATAACCATAAAGGTAACTGTCACAGCAAAAATAAAAACTTGGCCAAATATGATAAGCACTACACCACAAAACCAAGGCGAACTGATTGTACAGATAAGATGAAAACCACCAACACAATTTTCTTTTTTAAAGGGGAGGCAGGCAAAGCACAAGTAGGAGGCTGAGGCAGGAGGATTCTTTGAGCCCGGGAGTTTGAGGGCAGCCTAGGCAACATAGCCAGAGGTTGTCTCAACAAAAAATAAAAATAAAAAATGAGCCAGGCATGGTAGCCCGCACTTGTAGTCCCTCCCAACAACTTGAGAGGCTGAGGCAGGAGGATCAGCTCAACTCAGGAGGTAGAATCTGTGGTGAGCCATGATTGTGCCACTGCATCCCAGCCTGGGCAACACAGTGAGCTCCCCAACTCAGAAAAAAGGGAAGAGAGGCAGAGGCAAGGGGAAAGCATAGCAAAATAATACAACAAAATTCCATGACATATCAAATGTAATTACAAGTGTGAAAAGAGACTGGATCATAAAGCAAAACTCAACTCTATGTTGTATATGAGAGACACATCAAAAATAAAGTGAAAGTTAAAAAACAAGCAAAGATAATGGAAACAAGTTCAAAAGAAAGCAGAGGTCAAGATCATAACAACACCACACAAGATAAAATTCAGGCCCCTTCCCCCAAATAAGTTTTAAGTAAAACCAAGATGGGTTCTTTGTAATTCTAAAGGAGGATGACTCACAAAAAGATACAATAGTTATGAATATGAAGACACCAAGTAAGAGCTAAAGGGGAAGCAGACACACGCAGGGATAAGCTTTAATTTACTCCAAGTATTCCACCAAGTGGCAAGTGGAACAAACATAAACAAGGATATGGAAAGACAGAATAACATAATCAATACGGTATATTTGTTTGGTATATGTTTAACTCAAGATTCTGAAAATAGAAATATCCCCTTTTTAAGTGCTGTGAAACATTCATAAAATTTATTATGTTTGGACACACAAATATACCCAAGGTACAAAAAGGGAAAAATAATCACAATGTAATAAAACTAAAAACAAACATCAAAACTTTAAAACAAAAAAGTCAGTCAACACTTTGGGTTAAAAAGAAAAGATAAACTGAAATCACAAATTTACTACACATCAGACCAATAAGAAACCAAAAACAGTGCTTAAAGGAAAATTCAAAGCCTTAAATACTTACATGAGTAAAAATAAATGAATTAAATACTTGACTCAAAAAAGTTAAGAAAAATATAACACACGGATAAAACAGCTAATTAAAACAATAAAAAAATGGAATTCTTCAAAGGTTGTGACATATAAATATAAAATATCAAGCCAAGATATTTATACCTTTAATTTTTTTTATCATTTTCTTTTTATTTAGGGCCAATTAAAATTTAAAATTGCTCAATGTACATGTATATTCTAAGTCTGTACTAATATGTTTATTTCAGTACAGGAAGCCACAGTTGGAGATTTGAATTTTTTGTAAGATATCCATCAAATGAGAACTATCAAGATAGTCATAAGATTCAAAATATACAAAAAAACTCCATTTTTCCTTCCAAAGCCATTTAATGACTACCTGCAGAAGTTATAGTTCATTACAAATCCAGATAACTTTTAGGGTAAAATACTTACATTGCCAATCTCAAAGTTTTGTCTCATTAGTAGATAAAGAGAGGCACTGGCATGTGACCGAATCGAACCGATGCTACTGCTACAGTGTCGGAGAAGCCTGAGGCACAAATCAGCACACTGCTCTGTCTCTTCTTCAAACAAGAGTTCAGGGAACTGTAAAAAACAACACAAAACACTGTCCACATTGAATTTTTACAGTAAAATTTCTAGAGATATGCTATTATAACCTCAACCAGCGATCTGTCAGTATAGCCCACAAACTGCAAGAATGGTTAACAGTATGGACTAGAGAGGCAGATAGCCTGGGCTCAAATGCTGATTACGTCACTTACTAGCTCGTAATATGACCTTGGACAAGTTTTCTCAAACATAAAATAGGCCTAGTAATATTATCTACGTGGGATTGTTGTGAAGCTTTGATCAGATGTGCATAAATCATTAGTACAGTAACCCACAGATATGAATTCTACAGTATGTTTTTATTAATACAAAACAGTATATGAGTAATTCTCATCAACATCTCCACATTTCATCCTGTAGCATGTCTAAGATGATACAGCTACCTTCAAAATTTAAGAATATACATCTCTTCTGGGGAAGTTAAACAAGAAATAAATAACTGAAGCGGTTGAACAAATAAATACCTTCTTTTTCATTCACCACAGAATAAATTAATTTTACTGGGTTGAACTGCTTACACAATGAACCTTGATAATTTGAGTTAAAACAGAACACAGTAAAGAGAAAACAAGAGAAGCCCCATATTTAAAGGTTAAGTTATTACTTCCAGGCCCATCTTCACATCAAAATTACTATTTTTAAAGCCAGAAACTGGCTAAAGGTAATTCAAATAAAAGATGAATTCCAAAAGGCAGGCAGCAGTAGAGAGGTAAAGAAGAATCAAGGGTCTTTAGGCTATTATTTAAATTTCAACTACACATATATTAACCAGTGAAAGTGTCAAAAGACCGTAGCATGAATAAAGAAAGCGAAGTCTGACAATACTGCAGGGACAAAATACACAGCCTACCTTTGAAACCAGGGCTCTCTGGGTGGCAAAACAGTGTTGTAGATAAACTGCACTTTGGTTGCAGGCCATGCTATGCAGTAGCACTTTTAGCACCCCGCCAAGGATGCTCTCTTTGGATTCTGTTACAGAAACTGTCTGCAATTTAAAAATAAATACATGAGAGAGAGATGGACCTGCAAACCTGGTTAGGTAGGTAGAACACGTATAAATAAGCAAACTCTTAAAAGATAAGAAAACAATAATGTTAAGACCCAGGAGGGCTTCAAGAAGGAACTGTGCAGGATTTGGACAAGAGAAGAAAAGGAGGGAAAGAATGGATAGAAGTAAAATAGGAAAAAAGAGAATCAAGGATGTGATGGCAAGAAAGTCTAATGTGTGTTTTAGGAAACTTAGACTGACTTGAGGTTCAAGTAGAAAGTAACTGAAGATAAGACTGAAAACGAAAGTGAGCCTATGGCCGAGAACGCTGTTTGCAAATTACCATTCTTCCCCTCTGCCTTTAATAACTGAAATCCTGAGTTGTAGCTGGGGACTCTGAACCCAGCCTCAGAGAGATGATGTGAACAAAACAGAAGTTTACTCTTCTGAGTCATGACCTTAAAAGAATAAATATATTCTGTCCTGCATCTTCTTTTCACTGACTGACATGCAGACATGATTGCTACAGTTCAAATAACCATCTTGGATTAGGTATCTGGGATTTAGGATTTCTTTGTTTTCTTTGTAATAGTAGCTCAGACCTACTCCAACTAATATAGCACTAAAATACAAAGAGCCTTATAAGTCGGAGAGTTTCCTATCTTTTTCTTTAGGCAATCAAAAAATACTAAATTCTCGATATTTAAAAAAAAAAAGAATTTTTTTTTTTAGTTGGAGTCTCACTCTGTCACCCAGGCTGGAGGGCAGTGGCACGCTCCTGGTCACCGCAGCCTCGACCTACTGAGTTCAGGCGATCCTTCCGTCTCAGCCTTCCAAGTAGCTGGAAGTACAGGCACATGCCACCAGGCTCAGCTAATTTTTTGATTTATTGTAGAGATAAAGTCTTGCCAAGTGGCCCAGGCTGGTCTCAAACCCACGGGCTCAAGCAATCCTCTCACCTTGGTCTCCCAAAGTGCTGGGATTATAGGCGTGAGTCACCGTATCTGGCCCCAAAATTTTAATTAGGATAATGAAAGGTAAAATATTTTAAGAAGAGCAATCTCAGGAAAACGCGCAGAATGGATTAGAAAGGGAAGAACACAGAGGGAATATCTGAAGCAGGTAGCCACTGTAACAGTTTGGAAAAGAGCACCTGACAAAAAATGGTGGCAGTAGAAATGGAATGGAAGGAACAGGTACGAGACATACTTACTGAAACAACTGAGAGATCTTGCCAACAGATTTAAACCCTAGTTCTTCCCTTACTAGCTGTGTCACCATGGGCAATTATTTAACATTTCTGTGCCTAAGTATTCTCATCTACAAGCTAGGGAAATTCACAGTTTCAACTGCATGATTTTCTTATAAGATCAAAATGAGTTATTTGTAAAGTGCTAAAGACAGCGTCTGATACAGGAAAAACTAAATAATGGGATAATACTACTGAGAGGGCTGCTGTTTGGACTAAATGAGATAACTCTAGATACAGCGCCTAAAACACTGCTATAGTATACAGAAGATACAACAAACCCAGCGTATGTAGCTATGGCTATAAATGCATGTTAAATATAGTATGATGGTGCAGAACATCCAACTACAGATATTCAGAGGACATTTGGAGATGCAAAAATAGGCCGTGAAGGGGAGTCACAAGAAGACACAGATTTCATAACCACTCTCAATGAATAAACAGTTGAAGCTGTGGGAATTTTCAGTTATACTTAGAGAATCTCAGAATGCCTGGAATTGAACTTTTAGCAACTACTGATATTTACATGTAATTATATGGCTCAATAAATGCTTTTTCCCCTAACCCCAATTTACCCCATCTGTATTTTAAATTCTTCTTCTCTGTGCTCTTACCTGGACAACAATCTCTAATGTATCCAAAATGATGAGGTTTGCTTCTGTAGCCAGGTTTCCATCAATCAGTGCTTCATGTTCAATCTCTGCTCTCGACCTAATATAAGATATTATAATAAATTACATTTATCTTTTCAAAAGTCACAATTCTAAAAAGATTTAAGGATGTAGAGAAAGGAATAAAAGCCATTTTCAATATTTGCCTGATAAAAAAATTACAGGATAAGAAAGAAGGCCACATTTTACATATTAAAAATGTTTCATTTTACCCTGCGTTTTGTTAACTGGGCCAACACACATCTTCTCACCCCATTATGGAAGCACAATGCCACTAAACACATAAATGTTTGTGTTTTAGCTTTCAGACATGCAGTAAACACACTGTTTTACTCTAAACGGAGCAGACGCTAGGTAGCACTTTGTGGGACTGTATTTAGGATTGCTTCGTGTAAAGTAACGTTCAAATGTCTGGTATTTAGCTTACTATCTCAAAGTTTTCCAATGTATTTATTCAATACAAAAATATTTATGTTTTCTAAGGTTTCATTTCGTTTTTCCCTCATTTTTTATATAAATATGCTCAGATGACAATTTAACTCTTTAGTGAGAGGGTGGAATTACTCATTGGAAAAAAACAATTAGGGGGAAAAATTATGTGAGCTGGTGGATATGTTAATTAGCTTGATTGTGATAATCTTTCACTACTATACACATATATCAGAAGATCAGGTTGTATGTTGTAAATATACACAATTTTTATTTGTCAGTTATAACTCAATAAAGCTAGAAAAATTTAAAAAAATTGATGAAATACAGTAGAAAAATAAGAAAAAAAACAATTGATGAAATACAGTTTATATTTATATAAAAAATGAGGGAAAAATGAAATGAAACCTTAGAAAACATAAGTACTTAAGTACCAATAATATTTATAAAGCTATCACTTAATGAAAATAAATAACTTAAGAATAATTACATGATTTATGGATACAGCTGACATTTTTGTTTTAGCAGCAAAAGATATGGAGAAACTACATATTACATTCAAGTAGGCAAAGTAACACATAAATCAAAGTGAAAGTACGAGGACATATTAAATGCTAGGACATATTAAATGCTAATTTTTCAAACTTCGTAGAACTGCAAGTTTCTGAATCTTTTTTTTTTTTTTAGCACCCCAGGAAGAATGAAATCTGAATCTTTACTGCCACCACTAAAGACAAAACTTCATGAATACATATTTTACAGATTAAATTTAAGAATAAAATACAAGATAGTTATCAGAATTAAATTGGAAAAGAAAATAATGTTCAAACTTAAAATTTCCAGTGAGATTTCATAAAGAAACACAACAAGATGATTTAAACAAAAAGAACCAGGAAAAAAAGAAATATATAGTCCCTGGCTGCATTGTGATTTCTAAAAAACACAACACATGTAGAAAACCTATCAGAGAAACAGATTTGGACAGACAGAGAAAAGAGAGGAAACTATACATACATTCGAAGTTTAAGAATCTTAACATGCTTATATTACATTCAGTATCTGATTGTTTCAAACTCTAATATATGTGGTACTGAGATGGCTTTGATGGCTTTCAGAGGGCCTTGCTTCATGTATTTTATGATTTTACTGTCATTGAGAAAATATTTGTGAAATTTATCTGTGAGAATCTTCTCAGGCTTGAGCTAAGATAGGTCTTAGGGTAACCAACCATCTTGGTTTGCCTTAGGACAGGACTTGGGGGCTCCCTGGGATGTGGGACAAGCCTGAGCAAACCTGAATAAGCTGGCCATCTTATCCTCAAAGTTTTTGGGAAATCAAGCGATTTGAGGGCTGACTTGTAGTTACAAATTCTCAAGAGAAAAATTTTAGCCCCTCAACTCAATGCCAAGTCTCAAGTCAGGCAGTGTACCTGCAGTCACTTGGGCATTTAAGAGCATTTGTAGTTGTTTGCCTTCATGCCAGCAACAGACGACCTGTGTTGTGTTTTGTCCATCTTCAATTGTATTCTAAGCTCCAAGGGGGCAAATATTAGTATTCTAATTCTTTGTAATACTTAAAATAGTTTAATGTGACACCTAAAATACATTCAAAAAATAGTTGCTGACTGCCTGTTCCAAGGGGATGTGTTAGAGAAAAAGGAGTTTTAACATACCACATTTTCCTTTGCTATACCACATGGAAAATTCTTCCCTCAAATCTTTTTGAAGCTAAAATTAAAAAATTTAATATTCTAAGATCTGAATGCCTAATAAATACAAGGTGAAACTAAAATGAATCATTGTTCTCTTATATTTAAAATCAAGCAAGCCCACCAATAACACAAGATAGAGCGTGATATTACTTGTCAAGCTTCTCTGTGTTCTGACGCCAGTGAGTCATGTCTTTTCTCCACCTCAGATTCTCCTGACTTCCAAAGGCACTTCCTGATGGGCTTCTCTCTGGTCAAATACATTTCAAAACCAATTTTAAAATGTTATTTGAGTTAGGCCACATAGATGCATATTTGCAAACATATGAGAAATAATGCACATTAATTTTACTCTCATCACAAGTAGAAAGACCTGACAATGGTGCTTTTTATTTAAATATTCCACATTAGTTACAGAAGAAATATATTTGCTACATAGAATTGTTTTGAAAAAAAATACCCGTTTAAATAAGCCAACATTCTAACCTTTTTTTTTTTCTTTTTTTCCTTTTGAGTGGAGTCTTCTCACTCTGTTGCCCAGGCTGGAGTGTAACTGCACACTGACAGCCACCGTAGCCTCGACCTGCTGGGCTCAGGTGATCCTTCCCCCTCTGCCTTCCAAGTAGCTGGAACTACAGGCGTGTGCCACTACACCCGGCTAATTTTTTGACTAATTGTAGAGATGAGGTCTCACCATGTTGCCCAGGCTGGTCTCAAACCAGTAGGCTCAGGCAATCCTCTTACTTCAGCCTCCCAACGAGCTGGGATTATAAGCGTGAGCCACCACACCTGGCCTAACCTTGCTTTTCCTGAAATCGTAGTGGTAGCTTAAGGCCCCACAGATGACCGATCTCACCCTACTCCCCCTCTTACTTACCCCACGACAGTTATTCTGTTCTTCTTGCTATTCCCCATCAGCATATATCATCTCACTATCTATGCTCCTGATTTAGGCCCAGTGCAGTGGTTGTTCTCTTTACAAAACTAATTGTTCTTCCCACAAATTTTCGTTGGCTAATCACTCATTACCTTCTTCCTCTCTCCAACACTTTTCTTCCACTTAGTTTGTTTTGTTCCCTTCCATGGCACTTATGACCACATGAATATAAGCTACTTAAGAAAAAAAGATATACATTTTTTCCAGCATTTTATGTCCAGGCTGATAAAATGTGTCTGGTGCACATTGAGAGTTTGTTAAGTTTCTGTTTAATAAATAAACAAACAGGAAGAGTCCCTAAAGTAAGTACTTCTTTTAGACTACATAAGGCAGGACAAGAGGAAGAAGGAGCTTTCTCTCAAGAGGTTTCTAGGTTTTAAGGTAGACTAGGTTTTAAGGGGCAGCTGCGATAGAAGTGAATCGTAGAGCCATCAGAAGGCATTGAGAATTGTGGAGAAATATACAAATATACATTTAAACAATGGACTCAGTCCTGATTTCCAGTTTTCAACTAGAAAACTAATGCCCTTTTTGGAAAAAGACGAGACTTAAATAGGTTGGGAGGATGAGAGAAAAATAAAAGTAAAAATTCAGAGTACAAATAGAAATTTTTAAAAATATTTACAAACAAAAATACCCAAAAAACCCCAACTATTATTTCTCAATTTAAAAAATATTTAAAGGACAATCACCTCAGGGCCCCTCCTGCTCTGGGAATTTTTCTGCCCTCTTAATAAATCCTGCTTTCTAAAAAAAAAAAAAGTTTAAAAATACTGAGAAACAACCATTATTTGCTACACAATAAAGGACATGTATGTATTTCTTGTACTTTCTTTCCTTGTCTCTTTCCCTCTTATTTTGAAATCTTTATCTTTAGGACATTTTGGAAAAAAAAATTAAAAAGATATGCCTATATTAAAATATTGAGCAAACTAAATATCTATTTACATTTCTATAATTTACTTTTTTTTCCATGAAATTGCCTCTCAGGGGAAACAGTGTAGTAGCATTTGAACCTTTCATTATTAAGTGACTTAGCTTAAAAGTACAAATGTAAATAAGAATGATAAAGGATTAGTTTTTCTGAAATACGAAGAACTTTAATTCCTACATTTAAACAATGATAGCTGTCCTGAAGTCACAGGTTTAAAAATATAACAAATATATTAACCTTTCTCTTCTTTCCAAAAATAAACCTTAGAAAGAGTTGAGGCATAATGGAAAGAAACTAAATTGGAAGTCAAAAGATCCTAGTTCTTTCACTTGCTTTATGATCTTAGTCAAGTTATTTAATTATTTGAGCTTTACTTTCTTAATCTGAAAGATGACTATAATTATTCATTAGGTTTTGGTAATAATTAAATGACCCAAGTAAAAATTAATGTTCATACTTTAATTTTAGAAGTTCTTTGCTCATAGTAAACGAGTTAAAAGAACACCCTTCCTAGAATAAAAAGGCTTTTAAAAAACACAAAAAGCCCAAAGGCACACTGTAAACTGTATATAACTAAAGTGAAAAAAATTATGCTCTATTAATTCCTTTAAAGGTAAAGACTATGTCTTATTCATTATTAAATTCTAAACACACATAACACATAAAAGATACTTAAACAGATGATTACCAGGCTAATGGCCTGTGTGAGAAAATAATACTTTTAAAAAAAATCACTCACACACACATTCATATGTTAAGTCAACAAATTTACAGTGTGCTGTCGGTCATGCACACAGATAACCGAATCATGTCCCTGGTCTCCAGGAACTCTTCAGCAGCAACATTACTTGCATGTCACTTCAGAATTTACAAAATGTTTGCACGTACATGCTCACTATATCGATTATAAGATCAGCTAGTTACACTACCTTCCAAATTCTCAAAACAATCACAAGTAGATGAGGAAAAAGAAGGGAGGGAGATTAAGTGACTGGCCAAGGTTATACGGTTGATGTGTATCAGACCTGGGATTAGAATATCAGGCTCAAATGCTACTACATTGTTTTTTGTTTTTGAGTTGGGAGTCTCACACTCATCCAGGCTGGAGTGTAATGGCACACTCACAGTCACTGCAGCATTGACCTGCTTGGTTCTGGTGATCCTTCCACCTCAGTCTTCCAAGTAACTGGAACTACAGGTGTGCGCTACCACGTCTGGCTAATTTTTTGTGATTTATTGTAGAGACGAGGTCTCAGCAAGTTGCCTGGGCTGGTCTCAAATTCACAGGCTCAGGCAATCCACTAGCCTCAGGCAATCCACTAGCCTCATCTTCCCAAAGTGTTGGGATTACAGGCTGAGCCACATTGTACTACACTGTTTTCTATCACTGAGATCTGTGTTTGATGGGCAATATTTTTGCCTTATATACAGAGTATATTTCATTGTGCAAACTAGTACATTCTTAAGAGTAAAAGGGGAAGCCCCATGGACCTATACAATGAACTCTGGGTGATGACGTACTGGTGTAGGCTTACTACCTACAACAAATGTGCCACTCTGGAGGGGGATGCCGAGCATGGGGGGAGGCTGTGCATGTGTGAGGGCAAGGGGTGTATGGGAAATCTCTGTACCTTTGCTCAATTTTGCTAAATATGCTAACCTGCTCCAAAAAAACAAAGTCTATTTAAAAAGGGGAGACGGATGCTATTAATAATCACATACGAGCAACAGGCATAAACTGAGACTATCTAGAGCGAACTGAGAAGTCTGTTCATTCCCACTTAAATCAGAATTCTAACTTGCATTCCTGCAGAGAGAGATTATGCACGTTAATTCACAGCTACACTTACAACGTGTCGAATCATCATTGAAGACTAGCAACAACGATCACTATCATACATAATTCAAGGAAACGGAAAAAATCCTCACCAGAAGGGGAAGACATTGTGTACGTACCAAGCTGTCCTCGGCTTCGGCGCACCATCTCTTGCCTAGCGCCTATGCTCCCAAGAATAGCTTCTTCAAGCTTTGCTCTCATGTCTTTTGATTTTTTGAAGGTCAAACTATTCATTCTTTCAAATACTTTTTTCCCCTAAGATTTAAACATTAGAAAAGAAGGGGCATTGAGGACATTTTCTTCTACCTTTTCCACATTATGTTTCCTTTATTGTTCTTTGCAACGGTATAATGACCACTTACTTTGTACTCAAAGCAAGACACACAGAGATATAGCAGATCTAATAGCCGGTTTAGCTGCAGGACAGAGAGATCTGTGAACCACTTTTGTAGAACTGTTTCATCTGCGTTTTTGAGAACCCACAGTAGACAGATCAAAAGGCTCCGACTTGATTCTGCTGAAAAGGTAGTGTGTTGTCTGCCACTCTGAAAATAAAGAGCCATGGAATGAGACAGATGGATCAATGACCATTTCTTGTTTTCTAATTGTCAATTCTTTTCTTCTAAAAATAATAAAACAAAAGTTGCTTCAAGGCAACATGTTTAAAAAGAACTATTTGATTTAGACAACACGTGTATAAAACAATCATACACAACCTTAAAGTTAAGGGCCTGAAATGTATCGAGCCTTTCCTGGAAATAAAGTTTGTTTTAATATATGACAGGGTTGCCAGCAGAAAATAAATAAATGTTAATAGAAAAAAAAACATAAAGGAAAAACTTAAATGTTTTATCACTAAAAAACAAAAGATCTGTCACAGAATATCAGACATTATGAAAATTTTAAAAAACGCAACAGACTCTCAGTAAACAAGAGTAAGGGACAAATAGGAAGTAATAACAATAGGCTTAGGGGCTATTGCTTCCTATCAAGGACCCCTAACATAAAAGTCTTATGCCACGCAGAAGCAAAAAGCTATCTTTACTTATAGCATATTCAGGTTGAAATGTTATTCTCAAACTCCAATCTATATTAGTATATAGTATGTTAAATATAAGTAGAAAACTAAAAAAGAGAACTTGCTTGCATTACCATTTGTTGGACATTTACTCTGTTCAAGTCACCACACTAAGCACTTCACACACACTTCTAAGCACTTCACACACCACACTAAGCACTTCACACACCTTCATTTGATGTACTTCTCCAATGATATTACCAAGAAGACTATTTCATCTCAATTTCATAGACAATAATACAAGATGACAATAATAATGATAATAAAAAGTAAAATTTGAAATGTGTTAGATACTATACTAATCACTTTTTATTTAATACTCACAATAATTATATGAGATGATATTAAATAGTATTATTATTTCTAATTTTCAGGTAGGGAAAGTGAAGGCTAAAGACTAAGTAACTTTCCCTAAATCACACGTACTAGGAAGAGGTAAAACCAGGATCTTAGTACAAGTTATCCAGGTTCCAAAGCCTGTAGTCTGTATCATCACATGACATTCTAATATTTGGTTGATAAATATACTAAATAACAATGAGAAAGCAGTGGAAGGGATATTGGGAGGACAGACATAGGAAAGCCGAACATGCATACTTAACTGCTAAAGTCATGATCTCAACGACCTCACCAATCTTCCCCTGCTCCCGTATGATAATAATGACAGCAGCTAACACTTTTACTCTGTGCTAGGCACTGCATTAAATATTTTATGCATGTTAACTTATTTATCCCTTGCAACTTCTCAAAGAGATAAATATTATTACTCATCCCATCTTACAAAAAACCAAAACTCAGCCACCAGAGTATTTTGTAGTAAACGATGGGACAGGAGCTGAAACACACAGTGTGTGGCTCTAGAGACTAAGATCTTACCCATTGTGTTTCCTGCCTCTCACACACATAGAAGTGAATTCAATCACATAAACTTTCTTAACCATTAGGTTATACTTCCTCTGACCTGGGCACAAAAAACTTGAACACTCATCTTCAAAATCTTTTTTATAGGGAAAATGCTCCTTTACTTCAGAAACAGGCATTTTTTATAGCTGAACTTTCAGGTATAAATATACAGCACTGACTGAGTTCTCAAGTACCAATTTTTTAGAAATAAAATTGAAAAAAAAATTCTCAACTTGGCAAACAGGCATACACTGACATCTCTTATAGCCCTAGATAAAATGTAACAGTGATACATTCCGAAGAAAGTCAGACAAACATGAAAAAGACTCAATAAAGTAAAGATGACCATTTTCCTCCAAATTTTTCTATAGGATCAATGCACATGTAACAAAAATCCCAGTCAGATTTTCCCAGAAGTTTGACAAACCGATTTTTAAAATGTAATGATGAAAAAGCAAAGGGCCAAAAACAGCCAAGATATTCCTGAAGAGAGACTAGATGAGATGGTAGGGGGTAGGGAGACAAATCTGTTCCATCAGATGTCAACAATTAACAAAAATTCAGACTAATTAGGTCAGCTTGATTTTGGCATGTGGATAGACAAACAGTCTAATGGAATTAGAATAGAGGGCACAAAAATACCCTATGCATATCTAAAATCTGGTCTGTGACAGAGTTGGCACTGCCAATCAATGGCAAAAGAACGGACTGTTTAATAAATAACACTGAGACAACTGACTTCCCTGGGGGGAAAAAGTAGACTCCCATCTAGACCATGATATAAAAAATAAATTCTAGACAAAGAAAGAACTTAAATGCTAAAGGAAAAAGTTTAAAACTTTTAGAACAAAATATGAGAAAGTATCTTTATAATCTTGTAGGTGGGATAGGATATCTCAAATAAGACATAAAAAGCATAAAACACAATCACAAAAAGATGGTCACGTTTGTCTACAGTAAAATTGAGAGTGTGCGTTCGTTCAAATAAATAAATTGAATAACCAGGGTTCATTCCATGCCATAATTAGGCCCTATAAAACTGTCTTCTCCGTTCTCCCAAGGATGGTACACACATAGCAAGGACCGTCTGGAGGTACAGAAGCTAATTCATCACCTATAGTAAATGTCTTAGGTCATTAGTTCTTAATTTTCTGGTGAGACAAGGGATGACCCCTAGAAAACAGAATTATTCCATAACACCAGGAGTGAGGAAGAAGTCCAGAGTTCTACATTTTCCAGGTAAGAGTCATACCTCTCCCTCCACATTACGATAGCCACAGCTTCCCTGTTACTCTCTGTCTTCGGACCATCATAATTAATCTCATTAAGTTCTTGATGTCACTTTGTGCCTATCACCTCAACGAGCCAGCCTTCAGAAGCCTTCACTGATGCCTTCAACTCAGACCACCAAGCAAACTGCTCTCTGCACTCTCTTTTCTGACCTCACTTGCCACCTCTGCTCCACATCCTCAAATTCTTCCACTGTGATCTCTGGAACACTCGGTCGGCCATCAACAAAATTGCCTTATCCATATGCTCACCAACTTCTCTGAACACTCATCTTGCTCTAGCTAAAAATCATGCCCTAAAGGCCTGGAGGTGGAATAGAAGAAACATCCTTGGCACCTCACTGCTCCCTCCAGAACATACAGCTTTAATCTCATTTATGAGACTATGCCACCTGCTTACCTTCAGTACTGCAGGCACATACATATCCCCAGAGGACCAGTCCTTCTATCTTGATGCTTTTAGCTTCTGACTCACTCTCAATGTTTCCAACACCCCTTTTTATCATAGGCCTTAGTGGTTTCAATGCCCATGTATTTGATTCTCTAAACGTCCTGTGTTCTCCCTCACCAAGACTCCCAATGATCAAGAAAACCACTTATTTCACACACTCACCCTTGCTGTCAAACCCTAGGCCTTTAGTAATGTTACCATTAAAGTATGCTTTCCTAAATTTCCATTTTAATGATCCCTCTACAACTACCACTTCAATTTCCTATCACACCACTTCAACAAGACACACAACACCAAGTGTTGGCAAGAACACGGAACAACAAACATTTATTCATTGCTTGTGGGAGTTAGTTGGCACAACCACCTTGGAAAACACTTTAACCACGCAAACCCAAACATGTGTATATCCTCTGACCCAGCATAAAGCCTAGTGAAACTCTTCTACAAGAACATTCATGACACCTTCATTTGTAATAGCCAAAAACTGCAAACAATGCAAACTTCCTTTGAGAAGAGGAATAATAATGTATAATATTTTCATATAACGGATTGCTATGGCATTACAGACTACAGAAATATATCATCATAAATGATTCTTACAAACAGTAATATAAAAAAAATCAAGTCACTTAAGCATGCATAGTATATAGTCATAAACCAGTCAAAATATGTAAAGATAAAATATTGGTTAGAAATATATACACAGATGGCAAAACTATAAAGAAAAGCAAGGAGGGACTTTTGCTTTGGGTAATGTTGAACTGGATTATTCAAACCAACACTCTCACTAAACACAAGTAAACTTGAAAGTATAAAAAGAAAGGTTTATGAAAAAAATGGAAGAAACAAAAATAACTTAGAAAACCTAGAAATTTACATAATAACAAAAAAACCCTCAATGTTTTGGGTTAATACGATATCTGGTACAATTAAGGAGATAATTCCTAAATTAGTAGATCAAAGAAACAATCCCGCATGAAGTATAGGTAACAAAAAGAGGGGCTATACAGAAGGATGAAGACACAGAAGCACAGGTTAAAAAAAGGAGGGGCTAGGTTGCGTGTAGTGGCTCACGCCTATAATCCTAGAACTTTGGGAGGCCGAGGTGAGAGGATTGCCTGAGCCTGCGGGTTCAAGACCAGCCTGGGCAACTTGGTAAGACCTCATCTTTACAATAAATCAAAAAAAATAGCTGGGTTTGGTGACGCGGGCCTGTAGTTCCAGCTACCTGGAAGGCTAAGGCAGAAGGATCGCCTGCAACCAGCAGGTCGAGGCTGCGGTGGCTGTGAGCGTGCCACTGTACTCCAACCTGTGTGACAGAGTGGGACTACAACTCAAAAAAAAATAAAAAAGGAGGGGATACACAGAAGAAGGATAGAGACATAGAAGACGAAGTATCAAGGACTAACATGTTTAACTGGAAAACAAAAAGGGGAGAGACGGATTGGAGAAGAGAACATACTTGAGCAGATAAAAGCTGAAAATTTTCCAGAACTGAAGATGCTGAATCATAGATTTAAGGAGTCCAAAAATACAAAACAGATCAAATGAAATCAAGATTAGATTCAAAAGAATGAAAGCAAAGAAAGCCAACCTTAAGAACAATATCATAAACAAGCAAGAGAAAGGAAAAGATAATCTTCAAAGAAGTAATTGTGAAATCATAGTTGACTTATAAAAAGCCACAATGAAAATGAGAAGACAGTGAGAACAATGTCTTCAGTGTTGAAAGATAATTTTTAAAAAACAACCAAAGAATGAAAGTCAAATAAAAATTTTTTCTAGCAAACAATAAGAGATTTCACCATAGGAAAACCCCTCTAT